CCTTAGTCACCGTTAAAGTTTTCAGCGACTTCTTCCTTCCTTGCGGCTTCCTCTCCTGAATTGAGCGGCATGCTCGCTGAATATGCCCCACTTTCTGGCATTTGTAACAGGTCGCCTCGCTGTGTATGCACGTGCGTGCGAGATGCTTGCTTGACCCGCAATGGTAACAAGCCACCCCTCGCTTCTTAGTATCTTCCTTGTCACCTTTCAACTTGTGGCCGCTGGCGCTTTCCACTTGGTCGCTGTTGCCACCAGACCCGTGCACCTCGGATGTGCTTTTTATCGCTGTCTCCAAAGCCACGGCCCGGTCAACCGCTTTCTGAAAGGTCAACGTCTTATCTTCGGCGAAAGTGCTCGCTGAATATCCATGCGGCGCATTCCGCAAACGAACCGGTCACGCAATGACTCATCCAAAAACGTGCCAAAGTCGCATGTTCGTGCGAGCGTCCTTAGTGCGGCGACGAACTGCGCAATAGTCTCACCCTCCTCTTGAATTCGGCGATGAAATCTGGCTCGCTCTGCAATAACAGACGGCTTGGGTTCTAGATGGTCTCGTAGTAGCTGCGTTAGCTCGTCGAAGGACTTCGTTACTGGTAGCTGAGGAGCTGTTAGCGACTTGAGTAAGTTGTACGCCGTAGGCCCAATTAGGCTTAAAAAGGCGTCAACCTGGTCGGTTTCCGGCACATGGTTCGCTCTCAAAAACGACGCTAGTCTTTCTTCGTATGACGACCATGAGCACAACGAAGCGTCAAAATGTTCGACTTGCCCGAACTTGGCCATGGCTCTGCACCATTCCGCTGCGTCGCTTGCTCCTCCGTACCCGCCGGAGTTGCTGTCTTCTCAGGCCTACACGGCGTCCACCAGTTGCTGCTCGAGTTCTGCTCGCATGGGTGGTCGGTCGAAAGTCCTCGTCGCCACTTTATGTTGTGTGTCCGCCGACAAAGGGGAGACTTTGGTACGGAACGTGTCTTTATTCCGCAACCAACATGGGGAGCGACTTGCTCCGTAGCGTCCAGCTCAAGCGGCCCAATGAAAACAGACTACTCGCCGCCCGGGTGCCCCATCCCAGAGTTCCCCGCGGCGTTGTACCCAGGGTGACCCGACCCGAACCTCACTCCGCCAAACACCAGACAAGGTAAGTTTTTGTTTGAATAACGGTTAAGAGTTGAGCTTGTTGGTACATACTTGTAAATATATCCGCTTGAACTTTAGAATTAAACTAGAACACAAAGAAAGAAAGGACAGGATAGGACAGCTGTGCGTCCTATCCTGTCCTTTCTTTCTTCGTGTTCTATTTTAGTTCTAAAGTTCAAGCTGATATATTTACACATACATTTTTGCTTGGTTTTGCCGAAAAATGGGTGAGTTTTGTCCGGTAAGCATTTGGCCAGTTAGCTTTAGTCCAGACCTGTGAATAATAAGAGGGGTTTATGTCTGGTAAGCTTTTGTCCGCAACTGTGGCAAATTCGGTTTTTGTCTGGTAAGCTTTTGTCCGGTCTATGAAAAATGCAGCCAGTTTCTGTCTGGAGAGCTTTTGTTCACCGGGTATAAATGTTAGTTTGTTATTAAACATTATCCCTAGAAACTTGTGTGCCTCCTTTCATAGGCTTAGACTATGGGGGGGGCATCGGGGCTCATGCCTTGCCTGGTGAGATCCGGGGGAGGGGGGGCAGAGCCCCCCCCCGGGCCATGATTCTTACCGAAACGCCGTTTACATGCCATGTAACGAGCTTCTAGTAGTGGCATGTAAACAAAATAACACACACAGCGATGGACCCATGGCGATATACATACGCTGTAAAATGTACCCCCTAAAATGAACTACCGATAATTGCCCATGTAAAACAAACTGGGCAACTCCCCCCCCCCGGAAGATGGAAAGTCTACGCCGCTGCCTCCTTTACAGATATAGCAACGTCATTCAAGTGCAACACTGGATCTGGAGACAGGCAACAGCGGAGTGAATACGGAACACAGATTGTCTTTCCGGGAGAGAACCTAAAGCCATTTTGATCGGCCCACTTGCTCATGTTATTAATTGTGAGGTGCAATGGCCGTTCACAGCTGGACAAGTTACAAGAAGAAAACAATATCTGCACATTGCCCATGCACATTGAATAGGATACAGATGGTGGTATAACCTTAACCAGACTATTGGTCTTTACAGCAAAGAGTAACGCTTAATGCTCCACCCTGAGGGATCCCATTCTCCTGGAAAAAAACACCCGACAGGATAGAGACCAATCGCACTTGGAAGCTACAACCCAACTAAGAAGCTTAAAATGCAGCGAAGCACGCGACCTCGGACACCGTATGAGTACAAGTCTCGAACGATCCTATATTTAAAAGTCGTATCGTAAGCCTTTTGTAGATCAAAGAAGACAGAAACACCATGCTGGCAATAGACAAATGCTTCCAGAATAGAAGATTCCAGGCGGACAAGGTGGTCAACCGTAGAGTGATCCGCTCAGAAGCCGCACTGATTTCTGTCGAAAACACCCTCTGCCTCTCAAAAAATGTACAAGACGGTGGTTAATGAGTCTCTCATAGGTTTAGCCCAGGCAGCTTGTCAATGCAACTGGGCGGTAGCTCGTCGTTAAAGAGGAGTCTTTGCTGGGTTTCAATAGAGGGATTATGTGTGCCCCTTTTCCAACATGGGAAAAACATTCAGCATCCCACAATAAATTTAAAAAAAGGTGAACAAACTGTTTACAGGTTCAGGTGAGTCTTTTTAGCATCTCGTATTGAATCCTATCCGGCCCAGCCGCAGATTCTTTTTTGACGCCGAGAACCAATTCAAGCCGACGCCGTGTAAATAGCTCGTTATAAGGAATACCCTGAGCACCAGACAAAGAAATAGCTAGTTTTTCTGCTGCCGATATAAACCTCTTAAAGGGGGACATGGGCCTAAATGTAAAATTAAGAAAAAAAATATTCATTTTTTAGTTTTTTCATTTTAGACTAAATTTGGTAACCATATGCCAAATAGTTCAATGGTTGAATGCATTTTTTTCAGTTTTGGTTTTTGCTGCAAATTTCATACCAAGGAATCTTTTGTTCAAAGGTAAAAGTATTTGGACACCACAATCAAGATGTTTCTGAGCTAAAATTTACTGGGGAATTGGGCTATCTACTTGATTTTGTTTTAAGTTGAAGTCCTCATGGAAAAAAAAAAAGACATGTTTTCTAACATTGACATAGAATAGATATGCAGCTCACATTTCGAGGTGCCCACTCTTCCTGAAATACTTATACAGTAAACATTTGTTAATTCGGCTTTGACGGGACCTTGAAATTTGGTCTAATTATCCGAATGATCAAATTAAAAAAAGGACAGAAAAACGGCTAAAGTTAAACTTCCTTTTAGTGTCCAAAGTACTCACGGATGATCTGCTGCCGTCTGCGCTTAAAACGCGTGTCTAAAAGCATGCTGCAGAGAGCAAGCGTCACGTTCTCAGAAAATCGCGCACTACAAAAAAATAACAACAAAAAAATAAAGTTTTAGGAGTTGACTTTGACGCTGGACAGCCAGACTGTCAACAACAAAAAAAAATAAAAAAAAAAAAAAAGGAAAAGAGAGTTTGCGTTTTCCGGCGTGCAAGATGGACCGCACACGATGCTACAGAAAGCGCTTTGAGAGTGCTTGCCACTGGTGCACGCTGTATCCGCGCCCAATCACGTGCTATGTTCTCCGCGCTACACCAGATCGGTTATGCTGGTTCGTATCATTCGCTACGGTCCATCTCAACAGCGTAGAGGAGCAGGCGCATATTTGTGCACGTTTGGCTTTGCAGCAAAGGGCCCGTGTTTCGCCGTATGTTTGTGGTTTTTCTGCTGTGGTGCCGTGCAATGTGAGACCGCGCGCATTCGCTTGGCACGAATTATCCGATGCGGAGTCTTCCCGAGTTCAAACTATCGAATTTTTCCTCCCATAGAAATGCATGGGCGCTTGCCAAGACTTTTGAACGCGATCGAATTAAACGAAAAGTCGAAATAACTGAAGTGGAACTAACGAAAGTTCACTGTATTAGAGTCATAAAACTAGATGGCCCAAAGTTCCACAACCCCCACCTTATATTCTAGCAGTCAAGATGGTGCTTAATAGCTTCATTTGCATATCATAGATTTCTTAATGAAGAGTGACACATGTTCTTACGCAGGAATGTAAAGTTGTCCTAAAGAGCTGAAAGTTTGCACAGTACACCTACATGTGACATTAAGTCTCCCCTGCAAATTTTTTTGCAATAACTTGAGCAGTTTAGAAGTTAAATCTTTAGCCAGTGCCCCCCCTAAAGGGGTTCACTACAGCTGGCTGAGTTAGAGACTTCATGGAAGTGTTCACCAAAAACATTTGCTCGTTCTTTCAGGGATGTTGCTGAGGGAAAAAGGGGTATTCTGAAAAACCGATACTCTCCCCTGATCTTCCAAGGCCGATCCCACACTTGCTTCGAAGAAACAAAACTGCTCAAAGAGGGGACATACTTTTTCCAAGAACTGCCCCTGGTTTTAGCTCCCTTCTTATTTTTATTACCGCGAGATATTTGTGCCAAATCTTCGTTGCAAAGTGGAAGGTCAGTCGGGAAACTGCAACTGTCGTCCTTGGAACGTGTCTCTGACTGGTGCGTTTGGAGCGTCCTTAAAAAGTGGTTCCTCCATTTCTGCCCAGCTTGCCTCGGCAGTGCTGGTGGAATCGGCAGATTCCCGTTCTGCCACAAGTCTCTTTTCAAGCAAACTGTCCACGGAAGCTACGGGACACTGCGACAACAGCGAAATAGTGTTCGCTCCAACTTTCTTGCCGGGACTTCTCGTGCCAACTACCAGAATCCCCAAAACCGACGGCTTGACAATCTGGCTCCTGCAATGTCGTTTGTAACCATTTCTAAACTACTTTTGGCGAAAATGCGTGGAATGGGACGCGCCAGTCGGAGACGCCGTACTGCAACGGCAGAAGCTGCGGCTCGACTAAGGCCGCCAAACGGGGTTGGCCTGCACGGGCACACCTTGTTCCAGCCGAAGCCCACGAAGCGCCTGTCGTACTCCGGCACGTCGCGCTTGACGACGACGTAGGGCTCGAAGTTGGCCTCCCAGGCGACCCGGTACGGCGTGGTGGCCGTGCGCCACTTGGCAAAGTTGGTCGGGGCGTGCCCCTTCTGCCACACGTGGTACCTGCACACAACGGGCAGGGCACACTTCAGAAAACAGAGCCTAACCTGACGTAACCGAGCCTAACCAAGCTACCGTAAAGTTCCGAGAGAACGCTCGCCCCCGAGAGATCGCCCATCTCGTTTTTCTGGCTAAATATCCGTCGCATAAAAATTCCGAAACATCGCCCACCCCCCCATTTCCCGTCGGATGTCACAGAATGTGCGGGGGGAATCGCATTAACCGCAGAACTTGCTGTAATGACACTTCTCAAAAGCGAGTTCATAGAGGGTTCAATGCAAAAGCATTAACTGCCCCATGGAGCGAGCCAACGTCACGAGCTGCGCCAAACGGCAGATAAATTCCCAAAGCCCTACCTGAGGCATCCCAGCTTTGAAACCACGCATAAAACCACGCAAAATGGCAGTGATACGAAGCTGCCGCGCGTCAGTTTCCATTAGCGCCTCCCCATGGCGCTGCGTGTCCACAAGGCAGCGGCTCCACCGCTCCGGCCCAAGGTCAGCGTGGCGAGAAGCGCGCACGCTCAACCGTCGACGCAAGTATGCCCCAGATGAAATAAGGGAGCGGAGGAACCATGCTCTCGCATTCGTAACTCATAAGAAGTGCTTAGGTGTACCTTGAGCCTTTTTGTTTGCGATCTGCACGCGCGACCTAGATTTCACGCGAGTTCGTATATTGCATCGTGAAATACGATTATGCTGCGTTTGCCAACTGCAGTATACGTTCCCGTAAGATACGAGTTTGAAGCAGATTCTATGCGTTTTTGTCCATGATCTGCATGCGCGATATTGGTTCCGGTGACAGGCATGTTTATAGCGGGTTACCGCGTGTTCATTGCACCTTGAAATTTGAACCTGCTGCGTCCTCGATATCCGTTCCCGTGAGATGCGAGTTATCGGCGGGTTTTCACGGGTCATTAGAATCGCGAAACGCAAATCTGCTGCATCCGCAACCTCCTGTATCCTTTCCCGTAGCACCCGAGTAAACTTTTTGGATTTACACACTTTGTGCAAATGTCATACAGTATAGACCACTTACAACGTAACCGCTTATAGTGCAGGACCGGGTATAACGCGGTTTTTTTAAACCACCGGTTCGCCTCCCATAGAACTCCATGTAATTACATACCGCTTAAAATGCAGGCGCGCGAAGGGAAATACCGGTTATAGTGCGGTTTCTGGCACAGCCCGCCGACCGCGCCGACGACCGGAGCGGCGAGCACGCTTCCCTGAGCGACACTAGATAACGGCGCGAACCGCAAACGGCACTCGCGGGGCAAGGAGGTTGCTCGGAGAAGCGAAGAGAGAGGCTTCATTTGCCATAGCGACGGAAGGACGCACGCACGTGTCGTTCATGTGCGTGCATCCCTCCGCTGCATTGGAAACAAACAACCGAAACGACAGACCAATCGCAGGTCGAGAAGTGTTCGCGCGCGTTGCACAGCGTTGCATGCCAATCGCGGGCCGGCAACTTCTGTCCGCAAACATGGCGTCGGTTGTAGCGTTCATCTCATCGTTCCGCGTAAGAACGCTATCCTTGACAGTGAATTTTCGTTGTGTGTCGCTATGATAACCCAGCACGTACTAGAGGGGAAGATCCACCTACTCGTGCGGCGATGTGGCGGCGCTCTCAAGACGGCAGAAACGCCCGTGTCGTCGTGTTTGTTTACTTCGGCTAAAGTGGTGCTTTCTAAGCATTTGTGTTTTCGAACATCGCCCGGATTTCTTATTTGGAGCATTTCATGCCTGTGCTCAAGTTCAAGGTATTTTTCTGGCGCGTACCGTATGAAGGATGCGAATTTTCACGCGTTTTCATCTCCGGAGAAAAGTGATTAGGGTTAGCAATCCTGAAAGCTCGCAACGTCCGTCCGCAACCCGCGACGCCGTTAAAAGGCTGCGCCAGGCAAAAGCCGCTTATTTCTTTCAAAATGTGTGACACACTTGAGAGAGATGTGTACTAGTCTGGTGAAATAAAGACTTTTCTCAAACTAAGCTTTATTTTTCATCTAACATAAAATAAATTCTTTTACAAAGGTAGGTTGTCTCATGGCATGTATTTTGGCCTGAAAAATTGATGTTTTGGTTATAACGCGGTACCGCTTATAGTGCGGATTTTCGCGATTCCCGCGACATACGTTATATGCGGTCTACACTGTATCAGATGCCAATATGGCACGACAAGGTGCTGTGGCACTCCTCCACTGATGAAGACGCACCCACGGCTGATGGGGGCGCGCCACAGTAACCATGCTTTATAAATTGCAAACCTTTTTAGGGTGCTTTCGGCGTACCTTTTGTCAAAGGAAAAAGATTGAGGTACACCTAAGCACTCCTTATGAGTTGTGAATGCGAAAGCACGCACGCCGCTCGTCTGCTCCCTTTTTAGTCTGTTGCATACTTTTCATCGCCAGTCGGCGCGTGTGCTCCCCTGGTGACCTCGGACGCTCCGCGCTGATGGACACGCAGCACCATGGGGTGAGCGCTCGTGGAAACTGACGAGTGCAGCGGCCAATGGAAGCCCCGTCGACGCGTCAGCCAATGGAACCGAAGGAAACTATCTGCCGTTTTCGCGCTTCAGACTGATGACGTCAGCTCGGTCCATGAGACCGTTAATGCTTTCGCATTAGAAGCACCCTACGAAGCTCACTCAGCACGGAAGGCAATGCGACCGATCTCAGGCAATATATATTGCTAGTATCCGGCGTCGTGCTCAGGCATGTACCGCAAATACGCATATAAGAACTCGTACGAAGTCCAACCGCCAAAGCCCGCTTGAACGGATGAAGTTTCATTGACGGAGACGGCTGTTTCCAGGGGCTACCAGACACTCTCAGCCTACAGCACAGTGTGCATCTCGCTGCGTCGTTCTGCTATGAACTAAAGAAATGCATTTACCCGGAGTTAAAAGTAAACATTAAACAGAAGTCTGTCTGGTTGGGGAAATGATTATTAAAATACGACGACCAACCAATCCCTAAATCAGGGGCCCAACGTTTCGAAGCCGGTTCGGCTTCTTCTTCAGGGGCGACTATGGAGGAAAGGAGCCGCAATCTTCCTTTTCCTCTATGACGGAGGCGAATATGCACGATCCCATCTTCTTCCTGTTTGATCGTTTTTTGAAGACAACTGGTGGAGTCCGTTCCCATACACAGATGGCAGTGTGCCAAGAGACCTATTAATGTTTGTTGGCGTGGTCTGAATGTGCCAAGATTCAAGGAAGAGCCTCTGGCGAGGATTAGTTTCGATGTCCAGGATACATGTGTTTAGAAAGTCAATGCGGTGGTCATTTTTTTCACAGTGTTCAGCAACCGCGCTGCGCTCTTGATCGAAGTTGCGCACATCAGCCTTGTGTTGAAGAATCCGTTCATGATAGCTCTTTGTTTCCCCGACGTACGAGGATGGGCACTCCGCGCAGGGAATCTTGTACACCACACCTTGCGCTTTCTCTTCAGGGGGCCGATCTTTTGGTCGTGGCATAAAGCGTCCAAGGGTTGAAACTGGCTTGTGGGCCATCGGAATGCCCTCCTTTGCTAGCACCCGTGCCAGCGCTTCACTTGTTCCCTTGATGTATGGGACGCTGATGCGCGTGGTTGGCCGGCGTTTCGTATCAACCTGTGACTGGCGGTGTTGTCGGCTTCGGTTTTGACGACGGGCAATGCGGTGTATGAAGCTGCCCGTGTATCCGTTCTTCTTGAGGTCGCAAATGATGGTTTCTTCTTCCTTTCGTCGGTCAGAATCAGTTGAGCAAAGGTTTGTTGCCCTTGATAGGAGTGTGTTAACCACCGATACTTTATGGCTCGTTGGGTGGTTGTCTGATTCGCACGGTAAGATTTCACTCGAAATTTTCAGTCGCGACGTCGCTCGGGCTGCAAAAGCGTGACCGTGGCTGAGATGGTCGACGTCGATACTGAAAATCACAAGCAGAATCCGACCAAGTGAATCAGGCATTACAAGTCGGTGATGGCCGCTGGTAACAATGATCAACATCTCCTTGGATCTACTGTTTACGTCGAGCCTGCTTACCAACCTTCAAACTTAAGTCTTTTGAGGCCTGCACTTACTTCTTATCGCAAGTACTGGGCCAACATTTGGTCTACGGGCCGGTCTCGTCTAAAAGAGCAGACGACAAGCAGAAAAGTTTGAAAGAGCAGACGACAGTTCGAACAATCAGGCAGCCGTTTGAACTTGAAGACGCGCTAAACGTAGTCCGCAGGTGGTCCGCACAACTTGACGGTTTTCCGGCGTTTATGTTGGAACAAAACAAATAGATCTGATGACCACAAGTATCCGTGAATTCAACCCCAAATGTTTCCCGCCCAAGCAATCGTGGTCCGACGGCGTCTGGTTTTTCATTTTCACGGCACATATCCAAGTTCTTGGACGAATCGAGCATATGAAAACTGACCTTCAAACCTTTCTCGACTCTTCTGGTACAGTCCCAGTCGTGGCGTTTTGACGAGAAAGGAGGTCGTTGTCTGGTTCCTTTCAAAACAACGCAGGAATACACGTCTCACATGGGGACTTCCGCCCACAGCCCCAGACCGGAAGTGCGCCCGACGCGCCACCACCGCGCTGTGACGTAACAGAGTTGAGTTTGTGTATACACGGTTGGCAACATTGGTGTATCGAAAATGGCGGAATAAAGGAATGTTAATACCCACGCTTTAATCCTCAATCTAAGCAATCCCTAAACACTCCAACACCACATGCAGTACCACTACTAGCCCGGGGTCTTTAAACGGGTACGGAAACCAAAATTGAAATATTCAGATTTCGTTCGTAAATGAGTCAATCATGACGGATAATAACCGTAAATGATAATCGCACGTTTGTATTTTGAACGATTGGCCATATTTTTCGTTCCAAACGGTGCACTCGAGCAAGTGCTCGAAGAGAAGCGAGCGGAGAGCCCGATGCATCATGGGATATCCGGCGCAAACAAAAACAGAAAAAAAAGATACCCCGCGTTCGTGACGTGGCGTGATTATGAGCTTTGCCCTTGGTGGCGTTGTCAGCGTTGCGGTGGTGTCAATAGCGTCAGCGCGTTACAACCGAGCCGTTCTAAGTACCCGTGGGGTGACGAGCATGTGGCTGGCCCAAGGAGCACATAGCTCCCACAACACTGTCAGCTTAGTGCTGAATGAGGTGGGGAAAGCAACTTTTGTTCGAGTTTTGAGTGACGGGCTAATCTTCTAGGGGGAGAATGGCTGTGTCCGGTTGCACTAACGAGGTTGCGAGAAAGAAGGGAGTCCTTCCGTTTCGTCTTCTTGGACCGCTTGGTACAATGCGCGATTTGTGAGTTCAGGAGGAAAGCTAAGAAGGAAAACGTTGAAATACCAAAGAGCGGCGCTGCTCCGAAGAAATCTGGTACGTCACGACTACGTAGCAGATTCCACAACGTTGCTAGACTACCTCCCAAATAGGCTCCGCATGCATCCACCAGGTGCACATTGAAGATCGTTTATTTAGCTTTAAAATTAGTTTTCTTGTGCTTTTCAACGGAAGACTGGTGTTTTTGAGGTTAGGGTGCAACATGCAACACATTAAAGCCAGAAAATGAGCGCTGAAATTTCGTTTCCCTATCCCTTTAATGTGCATCACACCGTAATGACACATGACCGCACGCCAGTACGTTGCTGGTCCAGATCCAAACATGCAGGGGAGGGGATTGAACCCAGGAGCTTGGATTGAAATGCTTGCCTCTAAATATAGTGTCCGAGCATTGCACATTATTATATTTTTGTTCTAGATTTTTTTCTGAAACTCCATCCCCATACACCAGTGGTCTCAAACTCATTTGAGAGTGGGGGCCAATAGCCGACACTGGGGAGGCCGAGGGCCAACATTGACCGATTCAAAGAGACGTTGTGCTCTATGCTTTTTGTAAGCTCAGTTTTGTCAGTGACATTTTTAGATTTGATTTGTTTATATGACTACTTTGGGCCCTGACCTGATATGATAACAATGATTAAAAGGACACCTCCCCACTAACGTGCTCACATATTTAATAGGACAAGAGAGCAAGTGCTCTGTCGTTCTTGTTTTTCAATTCACTCAGGAATTAACCAGGCTCAATATGTCTCTTAAAGGGGCGGTGCAACAATTTTCGGACTTCGGTCAAAGATTTCTGGAAGTTGCCCCCTGACACTTCTGAAGTAAAGAACAGAAAACCGATTTCGCCTGCGTGTCCTAGTTGTTGCGTAAAAAAAAGATAAAGATTGGCATTTCGGGCACCCCTCAACTCACTCCCAGTCTTCAGGGTCGCACTCCCAGGTCGCACTCCCAGTGACGTCATTCGGTGTGCCGTGTAGCTTCCCGTGTGCTATCTCGGAGGACGCATCCCCTCCCTCTCTCTGCGTACATTAGCGGGCGCTATGCTGCAGCTTAGAGCCGAGCGAGGTCACGTAATCTTTCCGCCGTAGTTCCTTCGGCTGCCATTTGGGGCTGCAGGTGGGGGAAAAAGCTCGACTTTTGCTTTGCGATTATGCAGCGGAATCGCGACATTTTTAATAAAGGAAGTGTTTTCTCTATCCTCTGGGATACGATAAACAACGTAAAAATGACGAGATGCAAATTGTTTTAATCATAAAATCGTTGCACCGCCCCTTTAAAGAGTTCATCTGGCAGTTCTTGCTTTTTTTGACGATTTCTATTACAACACCCATGCTTGTCTTTTTTGGGTGATATTTTTTTTAAGGCGAGAATCCCAAGCTCGTAGCTCTATCTTCGTCAGTTGCTCCTGCTGACCGAGAGTTCACGCAGCCGAGATGCATACTTCGACAAAGAGCTCACGCCCGCAGCCTAGAAGCGGAATTGTTGCACATTACATAAAACTGGGAAGCAAAACATAAAGCGAAACAAACCACAAATGAACACAGATAAGTAAAAACTATATGAATATGTTAAAAGCGAAGAACTAGTTTTCGAGTGAAAGTGAATCGGCGAGATGAGATCACCATGGCGCATGCTACGTCTAGTGCTGGAGACATAAACCAGGACTCGTAGTTGGTTGCCTGCGGGTGCCATCCCAGCGAGTCGCGGGCCGCGCGTTTAATACCCCCGCCATACACACTGCGTGCAAGAACAGATCTTCGTACCAACGCTTCCACCGGCCTCAAAATGCACGCGGAGAAGGCGACTCTCACTGCCAAGCCCACCTGAAGGTGAAGAGGGTCCCCATGTCCAGCATGGAGAGCAGCTCCGCCTTGGACTTGGGGAAGCTCAGCCGGTAGCGCTGGGTCTCGAACGCGGGCACAATCAGGGCCTGCACACCACGAAGGGGCGTTCAAACTGGGTTCCTAGGATCCCCCAGAGCAACCTGAACGATGTCCCCAATTTCCTCTGCCATATATCACCTCTGCCCCAAGTACATAAAGCATTCTTTCTGTTTAACCCTTTAATGGCAGAAATTTGTTTCAAAAATCCGGCGGTCGAGTTTTGTGTTCAAACGAATGGCCTAAAGAAAGGGTCAAAATGCACAGCTTGTTTCTTCCTCTGCACAGCGCTTGCACACTGCTCAGGTCCTGAAGCATCAGACGGAAAGAGGGAAGGCAAAAATTCCTCCCTTTGCTTCCGTCGGATTTTATTTTGGCACGTCCACGGTGGTTTCAGATTTTGAACCGGAGGTACCTTATGGAGCTTCTCCGTGGATCGCGAGCTTTCATTCTGGGAACTAAAACCTCCCAAGTGTAAGTCTGAATTGGAAGAGTCCTACCGCTGCCAGAGCAGCCAACACGCAAAGTGACCATCCCGCACACGTTACCTGCGCGGAGCGTCTAATTTCAGAACTAAGTCCCAGAAAGCGAAACGGTGCGTCAATGTAACGTTTATAGTTTGCCAAAGACGGAACAAATAGCGACACTTCCCGCGGTGCGCAGTTTTGCATTTAGGCGAACATTTTCGAGTGTGCAATCGCAACGCTGGAAGGAGGCGCTGTTGGCAATTCATTTGTTTGCGAGCTTTCGGTCAAATGGAAAGACACACAATCCCCACCTTAGCACCGGTTGTTGCAAGGTTCGTGAAATATTTGAAGAGCAGTTCTCCAGGTAAATAGCTAAAGGACTCATTAGCGAGAGATTTGTTGGAGGTTTTTTCATAGCCCCGCTTGACGACCAATCCCCTCTCATCTGTTTTACGGCGCAGCAGAAGGACCTCGCTAGATCCCCAAATTCGTGATTTCCATAAAACTCCATCGTCCCAGAATATTTTACATCAACAGGCTCGGAAAGTCTGCCTAAATGGGGCGACCGGAGAGTATCTTTGGGGGCGAAAAGACGGCTTGTGTTTGTGAACAGAAAAAGTCTCTATAACGGAGGTCTCCCAACTTCTTGGCTAAGGCGCCGGATGAGGCATCTGTAGCATTCTCGAGGGCCAGGAAGAAAAATAGTAATTATAAACGAGCCAAATCTAAATGAATAAACCTAAGTAAGAATTTAAATGCAAATGAACGTTAGAGTCAGCATCAAAAACCCAAAGTTGGCTGAACACACATCGTTCAATTTGAAATTGAATATTGAGCTACGGTAATTATGACGTCGCGCAATAATTGTTACCGGGAAAATTTGCCAGGCATAAATCAAAGCGCATAGAAACTTTGGCACATTCGCGCAGTGCAAAAGGCTAACGAGGATGATGGAACTAATATACTAACACAATGTACACGAGAATGCAAAAGACTTCAATTCACAAAAAATTGTCAACTTTTAATTAGTGAAGATAGACGTATAGTTCCATTATAAACTTGGTGAAAGTCATCAAAAACCACTCAATCGGTAAATTTTAGAAAATCTTCGAGCACACAGCAAGTGCGGTGGTGCGAAAAGATGCCCGCGTAATTTTTCCGTCTGCTACCATCCGCATTTTCCCCCACCAGCCTCGTGCACATTGCATGACTGCAGTGTCGGGAAAAGTTTGAACATTGTATGTGCGGGTGCCGATTTTTCCAGCTCCTTTATGATCGCAGGGATTCCTTGTGGACACCCTATATCGACTGATGGCCCTTGCGTCTCTTCCTCCCGGGTAGGTGCAGGCTCCCCCGCGGCTAGGCTCCCCCACCTTGCGTGCGGACTCCAGCCCCAGGGCAAAGACGGAGCGCTTGAGGTACTCGTAGAGGCCGTGCATGGGCAGGAAGTCGATGTCCGTGAGGAAGACGAAGGGCGTGTTCACCTGCTGCAGGGCCACGTTGCGCAGCAGGTTCACCGGGTAGAACGTCTGCGGGGCAGGGAGAGCACGGGGACTCACTCTCGGCTGGCACGGACGTCCCACCAACGTCCCCAGGACATTCTTGGGGGGAGGCATGCAAGATGGCGGGACGAAGAGACCGGGACACCGTCGTCTGCTGCGACCAGTCGGCGCCACGCCGTCCACCAATCTCAGCAGGCGGCGATGTCCCGCCGTCTTGCATAGCCTCGCAAGGCGGCGAAATCAAACTTTTTTTTTTTTTCACGCAGAATTTGGTTGACGTTTTAAAAACAGTTAGATTGAATGATAAGGACGACTGGAACACTGGACAGGACAAGCGTTACTGTCAGGTGAGATCTCAATGAAGAAATAGAGAAAGAAAAGGAGGAGGTCAAAAATTAAAACTCGAAAGAAAAACTAAAGTGAAAAACTGTAAAGAAAAATTTATGCACATGCAGCTTGAGCTTTTTATGAAAATGTTATTCACAATAATAATTAAAAAATACTTAGACTAATAAAATAAAAAAGAAATAAAAAGAACAATGAAAAAATTGGTTGGTGCATAGGTGTACTATGCTGCACAAATGTGTGTAGAACTACGTGTGGGTGGAACTACAGTCCCTGGATCCTGGGGAAGTAGCGCCATTGCCTCCCCTGCCTGCTACTTGGACACAGGCACAGACGTTGAAAACCTCGGCGTTCGTTGCCATGGCAGTATCCATTTCGGCCAATTTGTATCATCCAAGCTTCGAGAGGGCCATTCTAATCCAGTTGCACCAAGATCGCCATGGAGCATCATCGTATGAAGGCGTTCCTCGCCAATATAAACTTCTTTAGCACCGTGTATGCAATCAACTTATCAATCCTGCCCATCTCCACTGATCTCTTAGAATGATATTGTTCTTATTGCGTACAGTAAGACAAGATAATTAGTTTTCAATGCCTCCAAGCACCAAAACTGCATGTAGTGGCAGTACAAAGATGTACGCTAGTTTTGCCAGTGTGGGGGTAGCAGGATCTCGGCATACAAGAATCGTCTCCATAAAGCTACCCATCGCCGGCAAATTTAGATTGGCTCACCAAGAACGGAGAGGTCAAGGACAAGTTGCTAGTCTCACGAGCCAAATTGGCAACCGTACGGGGAGCTTGGCGCTACTCTCCCACGATCCGGCGATTTTTGGGTGGCACAAGAACTGAGAGGGAGGGGGTCAACGCTTCGCCGAGTCGCGCGAGAGTCGTGTGAATTGCCCGTGCCGCAGAGCATGCAACCTCGGCCGCCGTCCAGAGCGATGAGCGAAGGTTGCTGAATCACAGCTGCCAGAGCGGAGTCTATCCCCGTTTTAATCGGACAGGGGCGCGTCGCATGGAAGCGAGCAAACGAGTGAGTGAGCAGACAAGAAAGGGCGGGCGTGCGCACTGCGCGGTTCTCGGCGGTGTTAGGTATCTGTGTGATGTCACTTCCGTGATCAAGTTTCGTGGCGTCAACCTCCTAGCTTTGCACCGCCTTACCAGCGCGGAGAAAGACATACTGTAGTTCTACGTCAAAAATTATATGAGCTTGATCATGCAGACAAAGATTGGTAAGCACAGAATGTGTAAAAAACCTTCCAAAAAAAAACTTGTAGTTTTTTTAACTTGGTGAAGAAGGAAGAGCAGTGGAGCTTCTGTTCTCAAAGATGACTTTCCAGGTGAGCGATTTGCTCTTCTTTCGCAAGGGAATTATCGTTGGCTCCGAGTCCACTGGCGGGACTCGGAGGCAACAATAATCCGACTCTCAGCCTTCCCCTTTTCTCCGGACCTAAATTTCTTTCTTAGTGTCGTCCGTGTCACCTGTCATGCTGCAAAGTTGAAAGAATGAACAGTCCTCTTTACGATGTTCAAAACTAAAGAACGTTCATGGGTCTGTTCCACAAATCGCGACACAAAGATCCCATATTTGAACAAGACTTGCCTTTATCACGGTGCGGTAGCTTCAACATAGTGTTGTGATCAAAAAGACACTACAGATTATAAAAAGGTTAAGAGCTGGGCTAGCTGGTAGCGATTAAACATAATGAAATAAAACGGCGCAAAAAGGTACAAAAGGAAGCAACAATCCGGAGAGGTCTGAGCATCGACTCGCAACCACATATTTTTACTGATAGACAAGAAGAAAATGTCCATTGTTCCACGTATTCACACACATCTTGTGCCTACGTACTCATTATGGCACGTGCCGGACCTTCGTTGTCAGTTTCAGGGATTCCAGCTCCTAATTGGACAAGGCCACTGACGCAGTGCTAATGCAGTTTCTTCCACCACAGTGGATGTAGAATGCCTCAATTACCTCAAAGTGTCACTTTTTCTTTGTGCTTTCACAAAACTGCGGGCCCTTTAAAGGTCATATGGGTCGACAGCAAGGATTGATCCACAAACATCCTAAACCATGAGCCCATTAAGAAGTGAACAACAAACTTATTTATACTTATGACTGTTCACATATAACTTTGTATATATACATTTCTTTATTATTTTTTTCATTGCATAGTCAATTTTTTACCAACAAACTCAGGTGTTGTGGGATTAGTAACACCATCTATCACACACCACTTGACAAAGGCCTATCACACATTCTGTGTTTGCAGGTCTCTGTCAATGTAATCAAACTTGTTTATATCGCGGTAGTGTTCGATAGATAATGTTTTTTAAATTCCAATTGCTTGGCCGATAACACCTTCTATCGTACTGAGTAAAACACGGGACTATGGCAAAATATATTAACCTTTTGAGTCTAAGAAACAGACACAGGCTCTCTAAAACAGCATAGATGGCCGGAAGAATGGATGCATAGCGGCAGTTCGACGATGACATGCGCCACCTAACCACATGTTTTCTTTTTTACTTCAGATAATATTGTTTAAGCCTGTTTGCTGAGATTTATCACCTATCCGTTTATTTATATAAAATAAAATCCCGGATGCCCCTTTTCTCTCTTAAAATTGAGACCAAATATCGCAAAGTGCCCCTTTTCTGAGATATATAAATATAAAAAAAAAAGGACGTATCGTGGTGTTAGGTCGTGCTTTTAACGAGAAAAACAAGGCACGCGTGGCTGTAACTTTGGGTTTTTTGTGACGCTTAGGGGAGATGCATTATGTTTGCGCCCTAAAATTGGATCTATGGTGCCCAACGTCCATCAGCAGCTGCTTTTTGTTTTACAGCGGAGCTGTTAAGGGGGCACACCCCCTGGGAGGGTAAACTTTTGAACCCTCGGCTTAAAATTAATTAAATTTACACGTCTGTCGGTTAAGTGGGAAGGAAATTACGGCAGCTTTTATCAGCAACTGACCTACATTGTTTAGTTAATCTATCGTCGAGAAACTATCACAATATTCAAGATTTTTATTTGCAGTTATGTAGCAGAATGCCTAGGAGGTGCGGCTATGGAAAGCCTTTTATAAAAAGTCATTTCTATCAATTTTCTCTTCTGCAAAATTGGTCAACTTTTTGGTCTTCTGTGTCTTTGTCAACACTTTTTATAAAAGACATCCGTGAAGTGACGAGAAAATTCCAGGAAAAGTGAAGAACGAGCCTTCCCTGTATTGCCATTATCAAACGATAGATAGACTAAAATAGATTTTATACCAAAAAGTAGAACGGAGAAAAATGCGTTCAAAGTGCTCGAAACCCTGCCTTTTCTTTAGCTTCGGTGGACGGGAAATAATTTATAAGGAAATAACTATGCAGTGTAAACCAGTGAAAATTTCTGGGAATACTCTCAAGATGTTGGTGGATGTAAATATGTAATTATTCAAAATACACGCTTTTGGCAGAAATTGTTTTTTTCTGGGTAGTGTCCCCCCTTGAAGGGGGGGTGCAACAATTTTCGAACTTCGGTCAAAGATTTCTGGAAGTTTCCCTCTGACACTTCTGAAGTAAAGAACCGAAAACCGATTTCGCCTGCGTGTCCTAGTTGCTGCGTAAAGAAAAATAGACTGGAATTTCGGGCACCCCTCAACTCACTCCCAGCCTTCAGGGTCACACCTGGTCCCCCTCCTAGTGACGTCATTCAGAGTGCCGTGTAGGTTCCCGTTTGCTATCTTGGAGGACGCTTCCTCTCCCTCTCTCTGCTGACACTAGCGGGCGTTAGGCTGCAGCTTAGAGCCGAGCGAGGTCACGTAATCTTTTCGCCGTAGTTCCTTCGGCTGCCACTTGGGGCTGCAGGTGGTGGAAAAAGCCCGACTTTTGGTTTGCGATTATGCAGCGGAACCGCAACATTTTTAATGAAGGAGGTGCTTTCTCTATCCTCCGGGACACGATAAACAACGTAAAAATGACGACATGCAAATACTTTTAATCATAAAATCGTTGCACCGCCCCTTTAAGGGCTTGTTTCCCAGGATTGTGTCCCCCGCAAAGAAACGAAGACACCAAATTCTGGACACCTACCACCATCTATGAGTGACGGCTGCAAGCCACGTATCTGGTTGCCGCCGTCGCTCACAGATGGCGGCAGCCTTTCCACTCTGGCTTGCCGACTTGCAGCCGGCCATTACTTTCCATTGTGCAGCTCCGCTGGTCTTCCTTGTTTATCAAAATAAACAAGCCTTTTTTTTTATATTGCAGTTTTTAGGCGCTTGTTTCCAGCTTGAGCGGGGGCGGGGGGGGGGGGGGGGGGGGTCACGTGGGGAGGACCCCGGGGACAAGGGGGGGGGGGGGGGGGGGGTCATGTGACCCCCCCCCCCTCTCAGTACTTTTTCCCTCCTCCTCCTCAAGAGCTGCGCTCCAATTCACCGTTACAGGGAGTTGTAAACGGCTTTTACTTTTTTTATTAGAACTTTAATACTATTGAGCATTTGTTCCATACAGGATGCATATTCTGCACCAGATGCCTTCTCTGCACATTTAATAATCTCATTCGCAGCACACTATGAAAAATTCTTCCAAATAAAATCACTATTTGATGTTCGATTTGATATTCAGCTTTTTTTTTTCTTAACTGAATTCAGTATTCGATTCAATAACTACTCTTTCATATTCGCACACCCCTAAATAAAATATCCCCGTGACATCCCTTAAAAGATGGCGAGAGAGTTGAGGGGTACTCCAAACTTTAATTTGTTTCACTTTCTTCTCAAATAAAAACTAGCACGCGGGAAAAAAAATGTTAGTTTTATTTCATAGGAAATAAAGAAAAATTTCCCTAATTGATTAGTCAAACTCCAAAAATCATTGCACCACCCCTGAGACGAACCGGCAATCGAGAAGTCGACATGTCGGCGACACCAGATGTCGCCGGGACAGCTCGGAAAGGAAAAAAAGTGGAGCAAGTACACGTTTATCCGGCCAAAATGTACCTCCGGTCCCACTCACTGGGTTCTTCGGTCGACGGAGCCACACGTTCCGCTCGCGCATTTCACCGACACAAAGAAGGATGCCAACAGTTAATTATATGCGTGCAAACTAAATCGGGACCATAGCGGATGCATCGACGTGGCGAAACGTGGCTTGCCGGAAGTTGAAAGACGTTCTGCAAAACAGAGAAGCGCCCCTCACCCCGTCCTTGTAGACGATGTGGTAGCCGACGTTCTTGCGGCTCTGCAGGATCTCCGAGCTCAGGGTGTAGCTCAGGAACTGCTGCACTTCAGAATCCGACATGTACAGTGCCAGGCTGATGGGACCTGTCATGGAGGCAAAACAAAATCATCCAAGGGACAGCAAACTCGCCAAAGAATCTTTTCGTTCCGATACGTTCATAAACTCAAGCCCGATTACGTCAAACTCGGGTACTTAAAAATATTCCTTATTTCAAATGGTTAAAACACTCCCCCGAATTTCTCAACTAAAGGTATGGGGACCTTGTTGGTCCGTATCAAACTTCCACGCCCGCGACGTTCTATAACCCCGTTTTCCCAAACACATCAGTCGCAGGACGGTTTGCACGTGCCGCGACGAGGATTAACAGCTGCACAAGTTTCAAATTAAACGATAAAAAAAGAATATACTATATATCGCAATTTAAGCATCACTCAAATAATAAGGTTAGTCTATGAAGTGTCCAGCCCCGATATGCGTCAGGTGAGGGCGGAGGGCGATTGGAGTCTTCTGGGGGTCACCAGCCCTCGTCAGTAAGAGTCCTGTGTCGTGGTGCGGGTCATTTGTTGGAATGGCAGAGTCTACTATGTTTGAATAGAAGATTATTTTGCGATAAATTTATAATATTAGCTTTTCCACATCCGCGCCCCTCACTGACAAAATTGAAGCTGGTGAACCCACACTACAGAGAAAAGAAACTAATAACACGCGTGCTACTGCGTTGCTCGGTTACACCTGTTTGTTCCCCTCGCGGCAGATTTATTAGAATAGTTTGTTTCACTTGTTTCAAAACCCCTTCAGCATGCTTGTGATTGTCATCGAGGGTGATTATACCGTTTAAATAATAACTTACAAATTACTTTACCTTAAAAGGCTTCCCGTGTTCATATTTCTGTAGGCGTCACAACGTTAAGTTTAAAATGGAAATGCAATATGCCATTTATGACATAATAAAATAGTAAAAAAAGTGTACTTCTAACATCTTTTATGCAATATGACTGTTGAAAAATCAACAAACGGATTTGTCAATTGATTAGTCTATTAAAAGGGAACGATCAGTTGGATTAATTTTTTAATCAAGCAACAGCTCCAAACAACATTCAATGTTTTATGAAAGTTGTGATTTGTGCAAGATAACAAAAATATGTGGGACCAGTGATTGTATAAAAACCACAACGCTAAGATTATGAAAGCATCCGACTTAAAGGGGCCCTGCAATCATATTTAGGCGTCTACCTTTTATGCGGTTTCCAGGTCTCTTGGGGTTCGGGCAAGCCAGCGGGCACGGAGAGAGTGACTAAATATCAGTGCGTCATATTTTATCCGGACGACGCGGAAACCTCCTCCACCGACGAGGGCGACCCGCGTAAGCGAAAGCGCGCAATATCTGACGTCTTTGGTCCTGGGCTTACTACTGGTCAGAACCTCTAAAATCTTTTTTTTTAGTCGAGATACAAAATATAAGCGTCGCGAACTGTTTCAATTATGTATGAAAGTAGTTTTTGTTCGGTATATGAGATCAGAAAAGAAACAAATGCAGTTTATAAAGTACGGAAACAAGAATTGACTCGTCGACATACCCACCACCAAGCGGCGGAAAAAACGGCGCATATTAGAAAGGGCTAGTGTGATGATGCGCCGACGAACGGCGTGCGTAGAAAGGACCCGGATGTACGCGGCGACGCTGCGGTCGAGGATCCGACCGGTTCCGAGCGTTCCGAAGGCTTTCGGCGCCGGCTTTGCTGGCGATTTTGCCATTTGGCGGTATGGCAGCGCGAAGTGGCTCCCGTTCTAGACTGATATTTACCCCGTGTTTGCTGTCGTTTGTGGCCAATGAAGTCTTATGCCGAATTAGTATTTAATCGTGCAGCAAATGCAATGAGAGCCGCCCTGACCGCCCGCTTCATACAGCCTATCCCACACGTGCTTTAGTGGCGCCCTCTCGAGCCGTCGACACGGAGTGCGGCAGCCGTGAGCGCTCGATGAGCTCACTATCCCTCCTCTAGTTCACTGCCGCTCAAGCCAGGACCTAATACGTCATGAAGGAGGTTACTTTTTGCTTGTTTTTGTAATTCTAATTTGCCTATAACTTTTAAACTAAATTGAAATTTGAGAAAAGAAAAGTTTCATTAAGTTTCTACGTTCAGTGCGCTCAGGATCTGTGCAAATTAAAAATCAGTCAAAAAGTTGTTGCAGGGCCCCTTTAATAATAATCGCTTTTTTGCTGAATTTCCAAGCATGTGAAACGATACAACACAACCTTTAGTAGGGAGAAACGACAACAATAACAGCAAGCATTTAATGAGGAGGGTTCAGCTCAGCCGGAAACAGGCTTGCGTCGATAATATACATGCTTCTGAACGTGCGCCCGTAGCAGATGACGCACAACAGCATCCCCGCTTTCGCATCTTTCCGATTTCGGGCGCACAGTGGCGACACGGTTCTATCTCGAGGCGAATAAACTGACTTCTTTATAACTGGTCTCGACAGTGTAAAAGACAAAAGAAGCTGTATGCCAATTATTCTACAATGCCAAAATTGCTCACTTGTGAAGTGCAGACACAGCGCATTATTAACACACTGAATAGCTCTTTCGTGAAAATAGGAGCATGGTACTGTTTTTTTTAGTTGTACCCCACACAGAAGTGCAGTACAGTATAGACCATGCACTTACAACGTAACCGCTTATAGTGCAGGACCGGGTATAACGCGGTTTTTTTAAACCACCGGTTCGCCTCCCATAGAACTCCATGTATTTACATACCGCTTAAAATGCAGGCGCGCGAAGGGAAATACCGGTTATAGTGCAGTTTTTGGCACAGCCCGCCGACCGCGCCGCCGACCGGAGCAGCGAGCAAGCTTCCCTGCGACACTAGATAACGGCGCTGATGGCGCGGGGCAAGGATGTTGCTCGAAGAAGTGGGGAGAAGCGAAGAGAAAGGCTTCAGTAGGGACGCACGCACGTGTCGTTCACGTGCGTGCGTCTCTCCGCCCCTCCGCTGCGTGGAAACAAAGAAACAAACAACCGCGCCGACAGACCAATCGCAGATCGAGGAGAAGTGTTCGCGAGCGTCGCATGCCGGTCGCGGGCCGGCTGCTTGTATCACTTTTATCCGCAAACATGGCGTCGGTTCTGATCGTCATCGTAGACGGCGTTCTTCTCATCGTTCTGCGTAAAAGCGCTATCCTTGACTGTGAATTTTCGTTGTGTGTCGTGTTTTTAACCCAGCACGTACTAAAAGGGAAGATCCACCTACTCGTGCGGCGATGTCGTGGCGGCGCTCTCAAAACGGCAGAAACGCCCGTGCCGTCGTGTTTGTTTACTTCGACTACAGCGGTGATTTCTAAGCATTTGTGTCCTCGAACATCGCCCGGATTTCTTATTTGGCGCATTTCATGCCTGTGCTCAAGTTCGAGGTATTACTGGCGCGTACCGTATGAAGGATGCGAATTTTCACGCGTTTTCATCTCCGGAGAAAAGTGATTAGGGTTAGCAATCCTGACCGCTCGCAACGTCTGTCCGCTACCCGCGACGCCGTTAAAAGGCTGCGCCAGGCAAAGGCCGCTCATTTCTTTCAAAATGTGTGACACACTTGAGACAGAAGTGTACTAGTCTGGTGAAATAAAGACTTTCCTCAAACTAAGCTTTATTTTTCATCTAACATAAAATAAATTCTTTTACGAAGGTAAGTTGTCTCATGGCATGTATTTTGGGCTGAAAAATTGATGTTTTGGTTATAGCGCGGTACCGCTTATAGTGCGAATTTTCGCGACTCCCGCGACATACGTTATATGCGGTCTACACTGTAGTTCAGATTCAATTGGAAAGAGGAATGATGAATACGAAGCTTAATGCTCGCAGGAAAAAAAGATAGCAACATCGCAAGCTAGTGCAAGAGAAATGGAAAAAAAAGCCATGCACAAAATAGCTTGTTTTTAGAGTACCTGCTCAACTTGCAAGTTATATACAACATGTAACATCACCCCACTGGAACACATTAGAAAACTTCAATGTTGGCTTTGGAATCACCTTCATTTGCCATGCTCTCAATAGCGGTTTTGAATGTAGAGATAGTAAACAGCGCGCGAATAACTGGCATGGGTATTCCGAAAATGTCTCGAGCTAGAGTAGCTAAAAAATTAGCCGGAGCTCTCTTTACGTGCTTGCATTAAGCACATGTGATAAAATGAATCCCCCCCCCCCCCCCAAAAAAAAAAAAGTTTTAGCAGAATATTGAGGTTGCAAGATACATTCTGAATTAGCAGTGATCCTGATGTTCCAGCACACGTCGACTGGACAGAGAAGAGTGAATCACTCCGAAACACTGAGCTCGCAAAAAATGCATTTTTACGTTTCTGGATCCAATCAGTGCTACAAAAAACTCTTTTCCCCAAAAAGCAAACAAATTGCAAGACTAATTTTGATTATTGCGGCATGCTTACATTCGCTACCTATTTCGCTATGACATGCCAAGGTAGAAACTCGTTTTGAGTGAAAAGCAAAATCCAAACGAGCTTCTACTTTGTTGTGTCAAACCGAAATATAGGTACCAAATGGAAGCATGCCGCAATACTCAAAATTAGTCCCACTATTTCTCTGCGTTTAGGGAGAAGAGCTTTTTTCTTAAAACGGACTTTATTCGGGAAATTAAAAAAGTACTTTTGGTCACTTGAAGGCTTTTTTGAGCTCGAGAGTCAAAGACTCTCAATTTGACAGACTTGTGTACCACAAAATTGAGTGAAGAAACTTGCGTACAATTGTACACCAATTCAATTTTCCTGCCAAATTGAGTGTGTTACACTTTTGCGTTATACTCTAGCCAGCTTAGCGTTACATTTTTGCATCAATCTTGTTTTAGGAAATCTGTGAAACTCTAGCGAAAAGCACCTTTCCGCATAAACTGGGGAATTTGGCCATTTAATTAAAAGAAGACTAAACGAGGCTTTAAGATTTCAATATGAGCAATTCATTAATAGTTTTAAATAGTCACATGCAAATAGTGAATTTTGAGCTCCAAATGAATAGTGGCTCTGGCCGAATATTTTCGAATAGACTGATGTTGCCAGGCGTTTGGCGCATGCGTGACGCAGCCACAACTCACAGGAGGAAATCGGCAGAGCCCAAGACTGTTTGTGCCGTTTCGTGCTTTGCCATCACAGAGCCAGGTTGTCGCACGTGCAGAAAAAATAAAGTTGCCTCGATGCATCGCGGCAATGGTGGCGTACCTAAACTGGCTGGCCACATTGGTCTATTGAATATCAAATAACAGTTCACTACCATGCAGCGTGCTTAAACGAAAATTCAGGTGAACTCACGAAGGTTGTTCCCAACCTTGCACTTCTTCCCTTCTAAGCCCAGTGAAATTTAATTTAGCTATATTTAGGAACTGTGGCATAGAAATTATAACGGTGTCACAGCTATCCTAATCAGAGAAATTTGTAAGTCTGCTTGCTATGTGCACTTACTATATTCTTTTTCCAATTTAAAATTAGACGCCGAAAAAAAAAAGAACCAAAAAAATCCAGCACAAACGATGAGCATGGGTTGTGAAGACACTGCCTCCTAACACCTACTTGCGCATCATCGCGACGGGTTGGCCCCACTGACGCACTTCTCACCGAGCGCCTGTGCAAGCTAACTCACTGCAATTACCGTATATATTTGATTATAGTTCTACCTTTTTTTTTTCCAAAAATATAAAAAATTGAAAGCCAACCGATAATTGTGACTAGAAAATTTCGACCTACATTCGTGTCCAAATTTCGCGACCCCACTGAGCGCGTGGAGCTATAGAGCCCCGGAGCTGGAGTTTCCGTAATGCCACGCCACGCTTCTTGTTTCGGAAAGCTTTTGGTGCATGGCAACGACCAAAACAGCAGCAGCCGACGGCCCTTGTGGCTGCCTGCCGCTGGCGCGCATTCATCGGGAGTCAAATTACACGTATGTTTGCAGTGCGCCGGCCGGCGCCGATTGCGCATGCGATGCACCTTGCCCCCTCCCCTCCTCCTCGCAGATGTGCAGCAAAACAAATATGGAGGTTACTTTCGGTCCCTGCTGCTCACCGCGGCATTGCTGGCGTCTTTGTACATGGTCTTTCGTTGCTTCGCCCGTCTCCACCTTCTTTTATATGTTGTTGTCGCCATTTTGCAACGATGTCAGCGAGGTACTGTTGAGAGTTTGCGAGATTGTCGACAAAGCTGATGAAGCTTCTGACGAGGATGACAATTCTGGAAGTTGTGACGATGATGAGGTTTTTGGCATCGCACTGTGATTTAGCCGAGATTGCTGTACATAAAGGTTTGTCACTTTCCTTCGCCCAAACTTTCCTCCGTTTAAAAAAAAAGAAAAAAGGTCAACCTATATTTGTTTTTATTTCTGGCGAGTTTAATATAAAGGCATATATTTTTGTTACTCATATTCAAGTAAATACGGTAACACCTAGAAAAGTATGAATATCGCAGTTCAACTCAAAGCAAATACAAAATAGTGTATTTTAACCTACTATTTGAAAATATGAATATTTTGACAGGTTCAACAAAACAAAGGAAAAAAGCATTCTAGTAGTTAACACCTGAATCAACGTTGAGTAAAAGAAATAAAAAAATCATGAGGTTGCTTCTTTTTTTAGAGCACCTTTCCAACTCAGAATAATGGGCTCTAATGTTTGTATCGTAGTGCAAAGTAGGTATTAGGGACCCACAGACACTTGTGTGGTACGTAGGTAGTACCTCTCTAACTATGTTTTTTCTAAACTACATTAGGTTTTGCACTAATTTCAGAAATTTAGAACATGATATCGACAAAAATAAAATTTATTTTTTAATACATTTTTTTTGTGGGGGGGGGGGAGGTTTAGAGGTGTCTTTATTTAAACAAATTTTTTCGTGCATATGCTAAACATAAAGAAATTTCCGCGTCTCCTATGGCATGGAAGGACTCGGCCATAAGCATTCGTGAGAAAGCAACTGCAAATGTAATTTATAGTTACAGTTTAGGTTAAAAAAAACTCTCCACTTAGGCTGCTTTACAAGTGTCACATTTACGGCTCTAGAAAGGGAACTTCGAGGGACGAAGCAGCTCACTTTGGGAGATCCAAATAAACAAAAACCACTTTGAAGATGCGGGGCAACCAAACAGACATTCTACTACACTTCTATGTTCCACTCATTTGGACAGTTTCACCTAGACAGTCTGCAGCCTGCCATAGCCTAGGCAGTCCGAGCAAGCGAGAGACGGGCTGCGGCATAAACCACAGTGCCTGCAATGCTTCCCCGACCAGCGCATTTAGTGTCCCGTCCCATCCGCGCATCAAAAGTGGTCCCCAGGTGACGTCGAAAGTCAAATTTGGGGGTTTTACGAGCCAACCCAACGACGGGCATCTGGCACGCCCCAGCGGAGGACTGAGGATTAATTTGGACCACCTGGGGATCTTTTGATGTGCAACCGAAAGCTCGGTTACACGGCGCCTCCTCCGCAATAAGCCTCCGTCAGATTGCGGGCACCTCGGCTGGGATTCAAACCCGCCACATGGGGATCCGTAGGCCGGCGCTCTCGTCTCGGAGCCACCGAGGCGGCTCCCAAGTGACGTCGCAGAAGCAGGCGTGCCGAGACGTTGGAAGTCTCGACCCTGGCGTTACCGGTCACCGGAAGATTCAAAAACCTTTTTGAGAAAGCGGAGCAACCAGGCAACCATTCTGCTACACTAAAACGTCCGCTTGTTCAGACAGCTGCACCTGAACATTGTGCACCCTGCGGTAGCACTGGCAGCCTGAGCCCGCGAGAGACAAGTTGCAGTGGAGCGCGTGCAAAGAGAGAAGTGGGCACCCACCCTCCCAGTGTTTGCAGAGCGCTTCCACCATCTGGAGCCGGTCCATGGACAGCTGGGCAACCAGCGTCACGTCGTTGCCCTCTGGAGACTGGAAAGGGAAGAAAGGCGTTCGTTTCTCCAGCCGAAAAGAGGGAAAAGGTAAGGCTGGGCTGAGTATGCACTTGACATCTCCTCTTAGCACTTTTTTTTTTAAAGTTAGATGAAACTTAGCTACAGTCGAATCTCGTTAATTCAAACTCAAGAAGGGCTCGAAATTTGTTCGAATAAAGCAAAGTTTGAATTACTGGGAGTTTTCTCCCATAGAAATGCATAGGATGGAACCTGCATGATGGTTCCAATCGACAGGGTTTGAATTAACGACATACGACTGTAGCAGTTTCAATCGAGAAGATTAAGCCTGCTTCCTTGAGCTGCACAAATAAACTATACATTGTGGAAAGCTGAAGCTCCACCGAGATTTGATGCTAGCAGTGGGGTTAGGATACAAGATTTTGTGAATGTGACGTTACTCGAAGCGAAAGATGAAAGGAAAAGACTAAATTTATCTATGAGGAGACATCCACTTAAGCCTAATTTGTCGAAACCAGAAATGACATTGTGGGCGCCTGCGTTCATTTCTTTTAGTGAAACAAATTCGTCAGCAAGAAAAAAAACAATGTCGTCTTTTTGCTCGTAAGTTTGTTTTACTGAAATACAACTGAATCTCAGTGATACTACGGAGGCTGGTGCAAATTTCTCTACGATATGAATCCGCATCATTTTCTAGTCAAAGCGCACTGCGTACGTGAAACTTTTCAAACGTTCTGAACGGCCGACACCAACGCGCACCTTGTGGCCAAAGGTGAGGTCACGAACGGCCACACAAGCTCCCTAATCTCTGTCTTGGCAGCTCATCCCTGCACTGCACCTGCTCTCCTGGAGCCTCTGTTGGGCGGCGCCGTTGGCACGCTCCGTTGTTTGGTGCTCGCGCGTTTTGACACTGCTTGCACTTCGTTTGCGCGCGTCACCGATCAGTTGGCGAGTTTGCTCTGCTTTTTGTCCGTGAGGCGTGGACATTACCTTGTGAAAAGGCCCTGCCGTCGCATGGACTGTAACTTTCAGTAGTGGCGAATGGTAAACCAATGTCCGTGCCTAGAAGCCAAGCGAGGTTCTTTACTCCGCTTCATTACTTTTCAATTTAGAGATATACTTTTCAAAGGCTCAACCTCACTGTTTTTCTTTTCTCTAATCGTATTAGTTAACCGTCGAAATAATAGATTTGGCAAGATGGCGCTAGCTGCCTCCCGATTAAAAGGGTTCAGCCACGTTCATCCATCCATCCATTCGTCGAGGGCGTCATACACGGGCCCCGTGATGGAAGCGGCATTTGACCTTTCGTAGCGTGTTCCGTATTGGGTTGCAGCAGCCACCGACACTTTTGGAGCAGATGCAAACGTTTGTTAGCAACATAAAATATTGTTTGAAAATGAAAAATTGAATACATCGCTGAATAAGTTTGTCTTTGATAGTTATTGAGGGTTCCACCTTGATACTGGAGCATGTTCCCTATTACCTTCGTAATAAGAAAGGATAGGGCACAAAAGAAACAGCTTTTTGGAAGCAAGGCTCCGGTTGGTGTAGGCTCCATTTACGATGGGTACTAAAAAAAATGGATAAAAAATGAATCACAGCGCAACACTTGACTTTGTACCCTCCAATTTTACACCTGGTATGCTCTATGATTTGATGAACCCAACCAAGCGATACCATAAGTATAGACCTTTGCAAAAAGAGCGCTCTGGCCGCCGCCATTCTGCGAATCGAGCGACCCCTATCAGCCAGAAATTTCTGGCACCCGCCTGAGCTGTCGAAATCCAGTCAGCATGACTCCCCACCTGCATTTTGCATTCGGAGTTCACCGGCTTTTCTTGGAAGTTTTTACTTTATTCGCCTGTTTAGGATGCTTACCCTTTGTATGTTATCTTCCACTGTGAGAACCAGGAAACACTAGGGTGCCTTCATGTGCGCTTCGCACATGAAGGCTCCCTAGAGAATGGCTCGTAGGCTGCTCGGCCTTCGCAGGAAATGAACAAAAAGAGCGAACGTCAAGCAGCTCGCAACGCAGGCAGTTCCAAGTTCTTGGAGGATTATTTCCGTCGAGAGAATCTCCAAAAACCCTTCCCGGCTGTGTTCCGGGTCTTCGCAAAAAATAGCTGATAGGGTCGGGTCCGGGGTGTGGGGACAGAATAGACTCGTTCGTTTATTTGCTTTGTAGCTGCGCAAAAAAGCTGCTCTCTTCTACATGTTCCCCAAAACACGCCGGACTCCGTCCGATTGTCGTGAAGTGACTATCGTCGACGCGGTATATTGGATATGCTGTGTTATTTGAGACCTTTCTCAAATCCTGTTCGGATAACGCGGCACCGTGGGGTACGTACAATATATGTTCCTCGATTGATGAGACTCGATGAATTTTTGGATATGCTGTGTTATTTGAGACCTTTCTCAAATCCTGTTCGGATAACACGGCACCGTGGGGTAGGTACAATATATGTTGCTCGATTGATGAGACTCATTGAATTTCATGTTGTGGGCAGGGAATATCCATGCAGTTCGGATATCCTATGTGGTCAAATATTTTGAACACACACGGCTGAGTGTACGGTGCCGTAAAACGATGAACATAAAATGAAACAAACATTCCAGTTGCATTTGTTCTGTCGCGCACAAACTCACCAAAACAGCTTTCATTTCTTTGTTTTCATTCCCAAAAATAGAGCACTGCTTTCTTAAACACATATATAAATTATGTTCGCCACAGAACACAAAATAAAAAAAGAAAACGCGGCAATTTAGCCTCCACCAGCGTCCGGAATTGCGCCTACGCAGGCTGCCACAGCTCACTGACGAGAAGCTCCACAGCTCAGCGCAGTCAGGCAACACTGACGTACACTCTCGAAACCAGGGGCGCGCGCTGTAAATCGCTTCGTTCGAGACTGCCGCTGGAAAGGTCTATACATAGTTATTAAGCTCCTTGTCATTGCCCGTTTGCTTCGTAGTTTCTTTGGACTGTAAACATAATTTTCATAAAATGACAGCAAAAACCAGCATATTTGCTAGCCTGTCTATTAATAAAAATGCATCCTCCAAATTTTATGAACCTACCAAACTCGAGACTTTAATATTATAGACAGCAAAAATAACCACCCCAAATACTGTGAAAACCTACTCATGTGCTTTAAACGTGAAACTGCCCTTTGGTGCAATTGGAGCCAGAGTGAAATGGACGTTTGCTGCTCTTTCGATCGACAGCTGCACGGGAACTGCCTTGGCTACTGTATTTGTTCATGTATAAACCCACATTCTTTTTTGTTTGTTTTTTCTCTTTCATAATGCAGCATTTTTGAAATGAGAGATCATGCAATCAAGACCAAGGAGTGTAGACCTGTCATAGCACTGAGCATAATTCCTGAGCCTATCCCGCTAATCCAGGCGCTCCCCCTTGTCAGCCGCTCCTCCTAGCTCGACATGCACGGGCTTCCGAGAGGCGGCACGGAGGCGTGCGACAGACGCGATGATCGAGTGATCTCATCAGGAGTACAAGCGCCTGCTTCTTTCATCGATTACTAAACCAATGAAATGCGGCAAATGTCCCACGATTTACGCTTTTACTATTTGCGTTCGTGGTTGTAGGTATGCGTTCGAGCATTTGACCGTGCTCTGACCTAAGATTAAACAAACTATACGGCAACTAGAGACTTTGAGAAATACATATGTCTACCATTTTCCTTTCCTCTTACCTCTCAAAATATTAGGATCAACCAATAATAAGATATTTTTATTTTTTGCTTCACTAAGCCTATTTCGCTGCAGGTGTGGCGCAATTCTTAGCCAAAATGGTACTTTGGCGCAAGATGTAGCAGACTTTCGGTTATGGTACAATTTGGCGCAAAGGGTGCGGCACTTCCGTCGCTGCAGGCGGCATTGGCCTGCTGTGGAGGGGAGGGCACAGCCCGCTCACCGGCTCGTAGTCGTACTCGATGTAGTAGAGGTGCGTCCGGTGCTGGGCAACCCTTGCTCGCCTGAAGTCGTAGCAGGGGTCGTCCTCATCCAGCAGGTTCAGCTGCATTTCAAAGACCTTTGTAGGGCCACTGCTACGCTCGAAGCTAATGAAACTTCAGTCACCTTGTTAGTGAATACCATGGTTGCCAGTCATCTGCTTCACTTAGAATCGCAGGAAAAGCAAATCGTAACTAACGTCACTTCCTGCGCACTAGGCAACAAAGGTCAGGTGGGGCGGGAAGTGTCAATGTCCTACGGTAAGCGACAGGCTAAGAACTGTGCGGCAAATTCACGTCGGAAGGATTCATATTACACCACCAGTCAATCGCATCCGCTCATTCCTTGAAGTCACTAACGTCGCATCTCGACAAATCGACGTCATTATTGTTTTCGACGTGGTGCACGCCGTTTCGACGCCGGCTTCTCGAAGTGACCCTGGTGTGCATCGCAGAGCTGTGCTGGTGTCCACTTTTGTGCACGGAAGTTGCTCCGTTACGACGTCGAAGTTCAATGGTTGTGTCACCATCCAACCTAGTCGCCATTGACGTGCTCATTGGGGTACGTTGACAGCGAAGCTCGGACTATCGCGCAAATCTCGCTCGAGGAGACCGACAAAAGCGGTGCCGGTGGCTTCTCTTTATTTCTCAAGCGCTCGCTCCCGAGACGAGTCGCATCGCAAAATCGTGGCGGCGCGAACGTTCCTTCGCGGCGATTTTGCGGGGGCGTGATGATGTTGCGGTAACTACATCGATGCAACACACTGCTTGAAATACCCGAGTGGCACCATTGCCGTGCTGACTCACCTGACTCCGTTGGCTTCCCTGCTCGCTTTATTAAATGGCAGAAGATTCTGATAACACGCCTTCCAAGAATCAATATCTGTTAATTTATCCGTAAAACTGCCGCCCTCACCAAGACACGTCGATGTGGTCAGTTGAATGGTAAATTAGATAAGCAGGAATTGTCTCGTCCTACCAATGTTACGCATGAAGGTGTCCTGCCGTCACCTTCGACAACGTGAGATAGAGAATCTACCGGCACTCTGCCTCGTACAAAATAATGCAGGTACCTTTGCCGGATCGTAACGATGTCGTCCAGTTCAAGAAACACTGAACTTTGCTCCCTCCGATCGCGCCTGATTTTTTTCTGTGGGCTATTCCGAGATAGCTTACATAAAGCGAGAGCAAATTGGATGAAGGACTGGCCTAGCTTCCAGTGTGCAATTGAGAAAAGTTGAAAAAATGCCATTTTCAGATCATGGTTTCCGGCCAAACTTGTTATCGTGGCAAGGGGCAATGAAGCAGAGTTGCATGTGCTTCCCATTAACCACGTTCACTTGTATTCCACCGGACAACTAGCCGCACTTATGCCCAAGTCGTCGTTGATCCGAACACTACGATTACAAGTAGGCCATCTTTCGGCGTTTAAAAATATAAAAAAATAGAGCCAAAAATAGGGGTGGGGCATCTCTCGGGATATTACGGTATATACAGGATGTTTTATTTTATATCCAACAGGTTTTTGCAAACAAAAGGCGACAGACGACTGCCGTTTACACCATGTATTTACCGGGCTTGGTGGACATTATATAAGGGGATAAGTGTCCTGGAAAGTTGGCTAACTAAAATCCTTTAATTTCTTTTGCCAACATTGTTAGCGGGTTTTATGGCGCAGGAGGTGACTAGACTGTGCCAAACTAGGTGAACTAAAAACCTCTAGAAAAAGTACACTAAGACAGAAATTTGGCTATAGTTTGTGTGAAATCCCTATAATTTCGAGGAAAGTTAAAAGACGGTCAGATGACATGAGGCTCTGCCGCCCGTGCGAGTGCTTGAGCGGGGTTCTGCCGAACATAGTCAGGGGTGACACTCATGAAATGTACTTGGGAGCAGGCAGGGGAGCAGCTGAAACTACATTCTGGAGCAGGCTAGGAGCAGCCCAGGTCGGTTTCCATTGCACTCGTCTTAGCCTGTGTCTAAGACGAGCACGGGAGCAATTTCAATTGTGCTCAGCAGCACAGATGAACATGAGTGGTTAGGGACCTAGGTAGATGGGATAACAGTGAAACAGATGCGAAAACTTGAAACTTTGTGAGCCTTAATGAGAACAAAAAAGCAAGTACCATATGCTTCTGAAGATAGCACCCTCGATATTTTCTGAGTGGCTTTCAGCTGTTCAAAATGCAAATCAACACTGCTTGTCGCACAACCGACACGTGCTCGACAATTATATGTGTGAACCACGTGACCTGCGTAAGCAATGGACGTGCAGTTGCGCGGAGGAACAGGGCGAAGAATTTCGAGGTTATCCTATTGTACAACTCAATATCGAAGCAGGAGACTACGATTAACGGAGTTATCATATTCGAAGCGATAAGCAGGAGCGAGGTTAAAGTATGCTTGCGTGAGAGCAGCTGGCCGGCAAGGTTTCAAATTGGACCGCGTTTCAGTTCCCGCAAGATGAATCAAGATTCATCTTGCGGGAACGTGGTTCCAACTTCTAACGATGAAGTACTAAAAAGGAATCCTTTGGTAATGTGTTTTCAACTGGCTGACGTCCGGATCCCGGGCCGCAGAGCCTCAGGCAATCTGACGCTTAACGACTGGACCTCACCGCGGCCGACTTGCTTAACCACTCATGGTTGAAGAAGAACAAACAAGTCGTAGCTGGTGCAGCGCTTGGAATCCGACCCCCGAGTTTTTTTCGCGCACTTCCGACTCGGAATTGATACACAGAGAGAATAAACAGGGCAAAAGATTGCAACTTGCAAGGCCGACCAAGCTAAATGTGCTCATTGTTGCCAACCGAGTTGGTAAAAACCAAGACAAAATACTTTTTTTTTGGCACATGTTTTGTGATTTGGTGCATAATGACGCGAGGTATTGGATGTGGCGCAGTTTCCACAAAAGGGCGCAGAATGGTGCAGACATATGTGTCTGGCGCAAATGGCGCAGCCGTTCCACCCCTGATTGTGCACTTCCCTACCCGAGGGCCTCCCCCACGTGAATACCCCAAAAAGACACCGGTCTCATTTTTGCAGAGACTACACAATGCAGTTCCTGCTCATCAAAAGGAAGGAGTGGGCACTGGTTGAGCATCCCATCGCGTCGAATTGCGGGAGAGAGTCAAACCGCGATAGTGTGTCGGCCGTGGGGGAGCGTCGCCCATGGGAGTGTCGGCTGCGGAAGATTATAAAAGGATCAGAGAGAGGCAACAAGACCCAGCTTACCTAGCACCATATTTACTCGCATAATGAATGCACCTTTTTTCCCAAAATGTTTACACATATTAGGGGGGGGTGTTTATTATGCGAGGTAAAATTTTTGCCTTTACATACTTCGTGCAAATGTATTAAAGGTCAATATGACACGGCAAGGTACTGTGGCACGTCTCCACTGACGGAGGCGTACCCACGGCTGGTTGTGGGTGCGCCACAGTAACCATGCTTTATAAATTGCTAACCTTTTTAGGGCACTTTCGGCCTGCCTTTTGCTGAAGGAAAAGTGCCCTACGAAGCTCACTCAGCACGAAAAGCAAGAAGACCGTTCTTAGGCGAAACCACTTTCACGATTTCACTGTCCGAAAGCGGAGCACAGACGACGGCAAGTTTGCCGACATGAATGCAACCGACAGGCAAAGTATGCCCGGGGCTGAGCAATTCCTCGACCCAAGCAAGGGTGTGCGCCGCTCGGTTTCATGATCTAAGCTCGTTATAACAGACCTTGATTTTGACCAAGATTTCGGTCTGTTGTAAGAGCAGTATGTTGTATGCAGGTATGAAATTGAGTCAACGGTGCGTAGAGGAAAACCAACCAAACTTCACAAATCGGTATGTTATATCCAAATGTCTGTTGTAATCAGGTCTGTTGTAATCAGCTTAGCCTGTAAATCACTTCCGCAACTACGCACTTGCAGCCATTACGAGAGCAACTTGGCTTGGCTTGACTTGGCCTGACCGCTTGGCGGAAAAAGAAAATTGTCCTTGTGGCTAGCTAAATTGGTCGCAATTCGAGACTCGCGGAGCAGAAAATTGGAAATGCGTTCCTTACGCGAAGGAAAAAAAAAAAAATATTGGTACCTGCTGGGGGGGGGGGGGGGGTGCATTAATTATGCGAGTAAACAGGGTAGCTGGCACTCTCACATATGGTCTTGCTCGCCGCGGTCAGACCAAGGCAAGCGAGGAGGCTTCCCACGTAGAGCCACCGCCCCGGAAAGAGAGGTCCGACTCACGGCGTCCTGCAGGTGTGAGGCGTGAGCTCCGGCCGAGGAGGAGGCGGAGCCGTTGCAGCCAATGAGCTCCCGGCGCAGCAGGTTGCCGTCGTACTCGAGGAAGGTCAGGTACAGGTTGCGGAAGAACTCCACGTGCTTGTTCTTCACCTTCAGCTTCTTGGGTGAGTTCCAGTGGATGATCTTCAGCTCCTGCACCTCCGAGTAGCACAGCTGCACGGCCAGGAGACGCACACTGAGCAGACGCACGGCGGCACTGGAGCCACCCACACCCTCGTTACGTGGGCGCCCTTAAGTGCAGTTAACGGCGGTTAGGGGTGCCCATGGAACTGCAGGGTGTACAGTTGGCAGTAGGGGATGACCATACAAGAATGAGTGCAGTTCGAGATGTCCGTCGGGCGCCTTTAACCACAGTCCAACCTCAGTTACACCTGACTGCGACTAAGGATGCCCGTGCAACAAGGCCATAAGTTACGCTTTAGGTTGGTGACACTTTGGCCCTCCCCTCGCTTAGAATTATTACTGCCAGTTGCATCGAGACAGGTGAATTCCGCTGCAACCAAATTGACAAGAAATACGAGAAAAGTAGACGTGGGAAATTCATCGTCGTGCAATCGGAAAACGGCAATGAGATATTAGTACCGGTGGCACACCTCGAGCTTCAATTCTGCGCTCCCTCCTTCTTGATTAATTTCTTCGTAAAGGATCGCATTTTTGCCAGCATCAATGTGGACAAAGACGTGCCAAATCGTCCGCAATATCTGCCTTCTCTTTTACCTGCCGCCTTGGCGATAATTCCCGTATTCTCTTAAAGGGACCATGAAGGCAATTTGAAAGTTCTATTTAATGATTGAAATGGGTGTCGCGCACGTCTCCGAAGCTGTTGACCAAGTTCTACTTCGAACAGACGTTTTGGTGCCGCACCAATCGATTAAACAGGTACAGCAATAATCACGCTGGGAACAATGCCGAAACCCCCCCCCCCCCCCCGAGACGGCAGCAGAAACACGAGCTAAAGTGCTGCGTGTCGTCGAAGCATACAACAAGCTCTTCGTCAGATGATTGTTTGAAATCAGTGACGCGCACTTGGCGTTGCGTCGGCGAGTTGAGAGAGTCGCCCGCTCTAATGCAGCGACTTAAAGGTCGTTGGAAAGTTTGGGGCGCCCTCCTAAAGTGCCAGTCCAGAGTTTTGAATCCACGAAACACACAAGAAAATGACGAAAAACTGCTAAGAAAAAAGCGTTGCAAACGATCCCAATGCCAAAAGCGAAACGGAGCCGACGAAAAGAAAGCAAGCAGACCACTGCCGTAGTAGATGACAGGAGCGGCAGACAAGAGAAATAGAGAGAAGGGGGGAGCGCAGGGAGGCGGTGTCACGCATTGCGACCAATGGCAGTCGCGGGTTTAGAGGAATGCGCTCTTGGCCAATCGCGCTTTCTCAAACGCAAGAGAGGGGAAACCACCAGCCACGCGGACAACGCCATTTTGAAAGGCGGCAAAAGGAAGAGAAAGAATTAAGCTCCAAAACGAGATCAAGATGGCGGCCGTTGGCCAAAAGGAACGAGAGCGCGGATTGTGTGAAGGTGGGCTTGATTTTGCGTTTTGACCACCATTTGGAAGCTATCGTGGCCTCGTAACTAATTTTTTAAGCATATCTTCTGGATGAATTAGAAGCTGACAATTAAAAGGGAGATAGTTTATGGAATAGACAGCCCAAATATTAAATTTTCTAAAAAAACATTATTTTGCAATTTTTTTGTTTTTCAAGGTTTGTGTCCCCCCTTAAAGGGGCCCTGCAATCATATTTAAACGTCTACCTTTTTTGACGTTTCCACGTCTCTTGGGGTTCGGGCAAGCCAGCGGGCACGGGGAGAGTAACTAAATATCAGTGCGTCATATTTTAACCGGACGACGCGGAAACCTCCTCCACCGACGAGGGCGGCCCGCGGTACCGAAAGCGCGCAAAATGTGACGTCTTTGGTCCTGGGCTTACTACTGGTCAGAGCCGCTAAAAGCTTCTTTTTAGTCGAAATACAAAATATAAGTGGCGCGAAACTTTTCAATTATTTATAAAAGTAGTTTTTGTGCAGTACTTTAGTTCAGAAAAGAAACAAATGCAGTTTACAAAGTACGGAAACAAGAAATGACCCTTCGAATTACTTGCCACCAAGCGGTGGAAAAAGCGACGCATACTAGAAAGGAATAGTGGGATCAGGCGCCGACACGGAGAGGTCCCGGATGTACGCGGCGGCGCTGCTATGGTTTGGGCAGGAGGATCCGACCGGCTCCAAGCGTTCCGAAGACCTTCGGCGAGAAGCTTTGTCTTGCGGTTTGGCCGTTTCGCGTTATGGCAGCGCAAAGTAGCGCCCATTCTGAACTGATCTTTACCCCGTGTTTGCTGTCGTTTGTGGCCAATGAAGTGTCATGCCGAATTAGTATTAGAATTCGCAATGTGAGCCGCTCTGACTGCCCGCTGCATACAGACTATCCAGAACACGCTTCAATGGCGCCCTCTCGCGCCGTCGAGTCGGAGCGCGGCAGCCGTGAGCGCTCGATGAGCTCACTACTTCTCCTCGAGTTCACGGCCACTCTCAAGCAACCAAGGACGTCATGGGGGAGATTATTTTTTGCTTGTTTTTGCAATTTTAATTTGCCTATAACTTTTAAAATAAAGGGAATTTTGAGAAAAGAAAAGTTGCACTAAGTTACTACGTTCAGTCCGCTCAGGTTCGGTGGAAATTAAAAATTAGTAAAAAGCCATTGCAGGGCCCCTTTAAAGACAGCAGCGGAGATGCGACTCGTGGGCGCAGTCATGCGAGCGTACACTCGAACGGGTTTGTGGAACACTGTGCAGCCGTCGTTTATGAGCTGGGCCACGCACCTCAACACAGCCGCTTCCACTTGGGCCAATTTTCTGTGTTTTGGCCTCCGGAAGACACGGCGGGATCGCGACAAACCCCACTTACATAGGGATGTATGTTTGTACAACGACCAGGGAACAGCTCTATCGAGCCTCGATGCACCATCGGAGCACACTTGCCTCGCTCAATGTGTTGTCTCCAAGCTGCACGTTCCACTGGCAGGGAAGTCGGTACAGCAGGTCGGTGTGCTGCTTCAGCATTGCATTGAAGATGTCCTGGCAAAAACACCTCGCTTTAACAAGTCGTCTTCCCGGCTGATCCCCAATTTAGCTTTTCTTTTACACGGGGGGTCGACGCTTTTAGATTCTTGTACCTGCCGTAAAATACCGAGCATGCACCATGTTGCAGTAAGCATCCACCGCCTACTTTTGAAAGTTTTGAGACATAAGCAATTCAAACTTGGATCAATAGGGAAGTTTTACGTGCCTTTCGACTCTTAATCTTTCCTTGTCAGCATGCCGTGCAGTCTAGTCGCCTCTAAAGCTACACGTAGCGCGCGATACAGTTAACCTACTTTTAACTGAGCCTATGGTTTTGCAAGAAGCATCCGTTATGTCGGCAGCTTGTTACGTCCCTCGCTCCCAAAATCAATTCCTAAATTACTGTCACGTGGAGCTCCCACTGCAAAGTCAGAAATTTGTAAATTTGTTGGAAGGACAACTAAGTTTGTTTTATCTCCGAGTTCATTACAAACAAATTCGACTGCAGCACCAATGCCTTCCTAGTTATTATGTTTATGTTGTTGCCGTTCGTTCAAATGGGTGACAATGCACATGTGCAATGAAAAGATAATCGTGGACAATGTGGGCCGAAACAGTACTATATGCTTTTATACTGTGCCTGCCGGTTGTCGAAACAGCTGTGGTCCAAACCAGGAATGAAATACAAAGTCCCACATTTTGGACTTTTCGTCAAATCTCGCTAATTCTGTCCTTTTATTTGTATTTTCGCTTAGTCCGAAGCAGGGGCACAGTCCCCGTAATTACACGTAGGCGTCTAAGGTAAATATAATGTGTGGTATTTCGAACCACCGGAACTGGTTAATCCAAACTTTTTTTAGCTGCTCTAGAAGTCCGGCAACTCTAGCACAGGAACAGGTTTATGAATCAAGTTTGGCGAGGGGGGGGAGCAGTGGTGCAGCCAGAGTGCTTATGGTGCTTCGGCCCCCAATCCAGGCGACCCTCTAACATACAGATCCAGGTAGGCGGCATGCGGAGCCCACCTGGTCGGCGAGGGACGTGAACCACATGCTGATGAGCTCCTTCTCGGCGATCAGCCTCCACATCTGCATCCAGTTCCGCTCACGCAGCTTCTGAAGCTGGAGCAGGATCACTCCCGTGTTGAAGCCACGCCCCTGCGAAAGGCGACGGCCGATTGGCGGTATTTGATCCCGGGTCCTCTCGGATATTGGCACGTCGGGATTACCGCACGTACGCGAGTAATGCCCGTGCTGTTTATGAACAGAGCCCCCGAGTCCATTTTCCCTCGGAGCACACGCTCAGTCAATTATCGCACTTTGCACAAAAGATGTAGCGAATCACAAGTCGAAAACCCGCGTCTCTGTAAAACATGGATGTCGCATTTTTTACGGAGACTTAGGTAGCATTTTCGCGCTAGGACGTAATCTCTGTCCCGTAAACTGCCGACATTTTTCTGTCAATTGCAACGATTGGCTACCCGCCGGAAAGTGGATCTCCGGTTTTTCTTCATAAACGGTGCGGATACATACATACACAAGTTTATTGTATAATGAACAAGTATGTGAACTGTCCAGGCCCGGAAAAGCATGCGTGTGCTCGCGGGCGGGACACTGTTACAATGGATAGGACGTTATTAATCTTACATGAAACAAAACAAAGCACCGGCATACTCGAGAAAGTATGGTGCAACAGTCGGCTCATCTAGAAGCGCTTTTTCTTTGCTGCGGTGCATCTCACCTTTCTCTTCGGTGAATCTTTGATCGCGACAACCATCTCGGAGAATCTTTTCCCTCACGTCCTCGCCAAATTTTTCCTCGTCTTGACCATTCTTCTAAATTATGGGAAATTTCATTGTAAACAGGCTCTTGTCAAATGTCTTCGTTGCCATTGGCAATAAGGGTTGGAATGCACTACCTGACCACACTCTTTTCATAAATAGCAATATATCTGAAACAGTCACAATCCCTTTCTCCTAACCCCGCTTATTTGATTACAGTGTTTTAGTACTGTGTTCAAGTGTGATTGTCGTATACATATCTATATGTATGTCACTAAAAATAAATGATGACGATTAGAACCACTAATTAAGCTAGAGTCATTCCTTTCTTGTGGGTGCCCAGTGGCGTGATTGGTTCGAGTAATTTCTTAGCACCCTTTGGAGCAACCAAAAATCTATTTGGGAGCAGTAAAAATAACTTTTGAAACATAAGCACACATTTCATTTTCATTCACACCAGCACAAATATTATGTTAAGATTCACGTGTTGGTCTGTCCAAATAAAAGCAGGGGTGGGACAGACCAAACTGGGTTCGGAGCAGTTTTTCGAGCACAAAAATCTGAATTTTTTAAACTCTAAGGACAAAAATATCTGCACTTTTGAGCAGCTTACGAGTAACTGACATCATTTTAAGGAAGACCTTAGCCAGTTGTACCATACGTTACAATTCAAGCAAACTAAGTTTGTACTACAAGTGCTGGAAAGTATTGAATACAACTTTACTGCAAAATATCTAAAATTGCACGCAGAAAGATAAGAACAAATTTAAAAAAAAAAATGAAGAGGCACACCATGGGAACATCAACGCTACATGCTTTGTTGCATCATACATTGTAGCATGTACTATGTATGCTGCAAAAGTACGATGGTTAAGATGTACACATCGAATCCACAGGATGGATGGATGAATGGTCAGATACGCTTTGGACTTGGATTGGGTTTTTATGGCGCAAGGGCTGCTAAGGCCAAAGAGCACCAAAGAAGGAAACTATTGTATTGAGAGTAAGCGAGAAGAAAGGACTCTAGTGGTCAGGGTTAAAAGTAAAGGAATGAGACATGAATCGGATAATGTGACAAACAAAAATGGACATGAGTGAAAAGCTTTGAAGTTCCCAGTCGATGTAGAAGACCAATAGCTTCTAAAAACTTAAAAACCTGCTTGTAAGTTACGAATGGTTCATCACCCAATAACAGCATTGGGTGTAAAAGAATGTGCTTTCTGTATAACTGTGCGAAGTGAAATCGGCGTTCCCGTTCACAGAAAGGGCACTCAATTAAAAAATGGAGAACACTTAGAGGTTTCTCACACTGTTCACACAAAGGGGCATCGTCCCCATGAAGCAGGTAGCCTTGAGTCAGATGAGTGTGGCCAATGCGCAAGCGACACAGTACTACTTCATAAAAGCATTCCTGGTGCCGGGCGCTCGTCCATTCACCCAGGTTCGGCTTAAGGAGATGCAGCTTGTTGTAGATTTCATTTCACTCGGCTTTCCATTGTGCTCGTATGCGGGACTTTACAAAAGTGCGATAGTCCATGTAAGGGATCCCTTTTATGTCTACCTCCCTGCTGACGCATGTGCGGGCAGCACGGTCGGCCGCCTCATTGCCTGGGATACCAACATGGCTGAGAATCCAACAAAAGCCAATGGTGCAGTGCTTTCTGGCTGCCACAATAATTTTCTTCTGAACTTCAACAACAAGGGAGTTCCTTGCAGGCAGCAGTGAAGAGATGGCTCGCAGGGCACTAAGAGAGTCAGTGAAAACCACTGCCAGGGGTATCCTGTGACGGGCTATTTGTTCCGTAGCCAACAGGAGGACATACAGCTCCGCTGTGAGAATGGTAGCAGCAGTATTTATCCGCCTCACAACTTCCACTGAAGAGCCAATGACAGAGCAACCAACAAAAGTCTCAGATTTTGTTCCATCTGTAGAGAACTTTGTATAATCGTCATACAATTGAGCAAGTTCATGAAATTCTCGCAGAAGCACAGCACTTGGGGTGTTTTTCTTGTTATACTGTGCGAGAGACAGGTTGCAGTGTATGTCAGGGTGCTCCCAAGGTGCTACGATGCCAGGGAATTCGATTACCTGGGATGCCACATCTAATCCGACAGACTCGGCCAAGGTCTTCAGTCGCATACTGAATGGAGGGATCACGCTAGGTTTTGCGAGAAAGAGTCGTTCCAAGCATGTTTCTTGAACAACTTCTCGAGTGGGGTGCTGGAGGACAGATCGAATGCGAAGAGAGTACATCATGCCCAATGTGAATCTACGTCTTTCCAGGCAACACTCATTAGCCTCTGCATACAAACTGGGCACAGGGGATGTACGAAATGCACCTGTAGCCAAACGAAGCCCAAGGTGATGAATGGGATCCAACATACTGAGCACAGATTGTCTGGCAGACCGATAAACAAAGCAGCCATAGTCTGATCGGGAGTGCACCAAAGAGCGATAGATCCGCAGGAGGCACAATCGATCCGAGCCCCAAGACCGGTGAGAGAGAACTTTAAGGATATTGAGAGACTTGTGAGCTTTCAGTTTCAGGCTTTTTACATGAGCAATAAAATTCAGTTTACTATCAAACGTAAGACCCAAAAATTTGTGCCGAGGTTGGATAACATTACCATTGTAGATTGTTAGGGATGGTTCAAGAAGGATTCCACGTTTCCGGGTGAAGCAAACAGATGCAGTCTTCTCAGGAGAGAAATTAAACCCATTACTGTCAGCCCACCCAGTAAGCTTGTTGATGCCTAGCTGAACCCTGCGTTTACAGACTGAGAGGTTACAGGAGGAAACTGAAATTTGTAAATCATCGACGTAAAGAGGATACTGAACCGACGGGGGGATTACTGAAGCAATGGAGTTCATTTTAACTATAAACAAGGTGACACTTTGCACTCCCCCTGTTGCACTCCATTTTCCTGCAGAAATTCACGGGAGAGTGTGTTTCCCAGCTGGACTCGAAAGGTACGCCTGTCTAAATAGCTCTGAATTGCACGAAGCATGCGACCACGTAGTCCGAGGTCCCACAGGTCCCTCAAAATGCCAAAGTGCCAAACCGTGTCATACGCTTTCTCGAGATCAAAGAACACGGAGAGGCAGTGCTGCTTGTGTACAAAGGCCTCACGCACAACAGTTTCGAGACGGACCAAGTGGTCAACTGTAGACCTTGATGAGCGATAGCCGCACTAAAATTTGTCTAGTACCTTACCATGCTCCAGATAGTACAGTAGTTTGCGATTAATCATTCGCTCCAGTGTCTTACAGAGACAGCTGGTAAGAGCAATGGGCCTATAACTGGAAACACAAGAAGCATCCTTACCTGCCTACAAAAGTGGGAGGACATGTGCTACCTTCCAAGATGGAGGGAAATAGCCCTCCTGCCATATGCGGTTATAAAGATATAAAATGACATCGAGTGTAGAAGGATGAAGATGCTGTAGCATTGAATAACGTAAACCATCAGGTCCAGGAGCTTTGTGTTATGAAGAACTGCGAGGAGCTCGTGCAAGCTGAATGTAGCATTATATTCCTCCTGTTCACCTCCTGAGGTTTTCAAGGGATTGCTCTCAGCCTTCCATTTCTGTCGAAGGAAAGTAGATGAATAATGATGTGAACTGGATATATATTCAAAATGTTCTCCAAAAATATCAGCTTGTTTCTTGAGTGTGTCTGGGCATGTTCCATTCCTAAAAAGCAGAAGGATTTTAAATGCATGATAGGAGCCATTGATCTCATGTATTCGATCTCAGACCTCCTTAGGTGAGGTACTGCTATTTATAGTGGAAGCATAGCCTTGCCAAATTTCTCGTTTGGCTTTTCTTCGGACGTAGCCGTGCACGGGCCTTCATTTTCCGAAAGGATATGAGGTTGTCTGTAGCGGGGTATTGTCTCAGAATACCCCAAGCCCAATTTCGTTTCTTGCGCGTCTCTTCACATTCCAAATTCCACCAAGGCTTTGGCCTCTTAGGAAGAAATTGAGATGTCTGCAGGATGGACAGCTTGGCTGCTGTGATAATGCGCTCAGTTAAAAGATGATTGAGTTCGTCAATTGTGAGACTATTGAGACGAGAATATGCTAAAAGCGATGCCTGCTTGAAAAGGCCCCAATCAGCCTTGTCAAGCTTCCAACGAGGCGGGCGTGTATGAATGAAAAGAGGGGCTACGCTACAAGTTAAAAGAGTAGGAAAATGGTTGCTTCCACGTGCATTGGAATCCACACTCCAGGAAAAATCTGGAAGTAAACTAGCAGAACCAATTGAAAGGTCGATGGAAGTTGATGACAAGGATGATGGACTAAAATAGGTTGGCTGGCCCGTAGTAAAAAGTGAAAGTCGTTTACAACTCCCTGTAACGCCGAATTGGAGCGCAGCTCTTGAGGAGGAGGAGGGAAGGGTACTGAGGGGAGGGTAGACCCCTCCTCCTCCTCCTCCCCTCATTCTCTAATATGCTCCGGGGGGGGTCACCTGACCTCGGGGGGAGGGGGTCACGTGACCTGGGGGGGATGTCGCGTGACTTCGAGGGGGAAGGCCACGTGACCTTGGGGGGGTCATGTGACCTTGAGGTGACCTTGCAAGGGGTCACGTGACCTCAAGAGGGTCATTTGACCTCGGGGGTCACGTGACCTTGGGGTGACCTTGGGAGGGGTCACATGACCTTGGGGGGTCATGTGACCCAGGGGCGACCTTGGTTACGCCAACGGCGACAGCGCACTGCTCAAGCCGGAAACGGGCGCCTAAGAGCTGCACTCTAAAAGACAAAGACTTCATGTGGTTAAAACTGACTCAACAATTTTTCCTCCGACATCCTGACGTGTGCTCCCCCATAAAGGGTTGTGACAATTAAAATCGCCCATCAAAAGGAAAGGCTCTGGAAGCTGGTCTAACAGCGAGTTAAAATCTGAACATTTCAAAGTAAACAAAGGTGGCAGATATATAGTGCATACTGTAAGAGCCTTATGGTGCAAGAACCAAACATCCACTGCTTCAAGTGGTGTGGACAGTGGAACCTCTGTGCAGGGAACTTCTCTCGGGAGAACCACCGCGTCTCCCCCAGAGGAACTGACAGAGCTCGGACGATCCCTCCGGAAAACCTGGTAACGTCTGAGGAAATTGGTATGGCTGGGACTCAAATGAGTCTCTTGCAAGCACAGCGCTCGTGGCTTGTACTCCTCCAGAAGATGCTCTACATCATCCAGGTTTCTTAGAAGGCCACGACAGTTCCACTGTATGAGTTCTGAAGCCATTTTGGCACAGAAACCGGAGCACATGGAAAAGTGAGTCAGTTGCCTCACTTCGGAGGAGTTACGAGTTTTTTTTATTTTTGTTTCTTCGTAGTCTGCCACTCCATCTCATCTTGGTCAGAACCCGAAGTCGATGAGGGGGCAGACAAGGCAGTGCCAGTGTTCTCTTGAGTCCCGCAGGCAGACTTGCCTGCTAGCCTGGGAGGGTGTGTGCCGAGGGGCCCCAATCCGCGGCCACGACCAGAACTAGGTGGAAAGGTGGTCGACGTACTGGGGAGGGGTTCTACCCCATTCATCTGTTCCACCTCTTTTCCCGACAAGGAACCTGCGTGCGAGCCACGCAGCTCCTTGGTTGCTGGCTGCCTCTCCAGGGACTGAGGCCGAGGGCCTCGCTTCTTCTCCTCCTTAGGAGAACGGCCAGTGTTGACAGGTGCAGACGGTGCTGGCCTGTCCTGAGCAGACAAGGCAGCCAAAGCGCCCCCTCCACGAGAACAGGAAGCCTGCTGACCCTGCGCCACAGTCTTGAAGGGTAGGGCGGGCAAGGCTATTGCCGGTCCACCCCTGCCCAGGGGAGTAGCATGCTGCTCCTGTCGAAGGGATGGGGCCCTCAGGTCAGCTGCCAAGATCTCAGGAGAGACCTGGGTGGCCCTAGTCTCCAAGTGTGGTGCAGGGACCCTTCGCACCACCTTGGCGTAACTACCCTTTGAGAGGAAGGACAGCTTCTTCTTAGCCTCCAAGTAGGTGATGTACTCCTTCGCCTTTAGGGAAAGAATTTCCTTTTCTTGACGCCAAAGGGGACAGGTCCGGGAGTAAGCTGGCTGAGGCCCACGAGAGTTACTACAGTGGGCCGCTGCCTCGCAGATGTCAGCAACATGTTCCTGGCTTCCACATTTCGCACAAGTTTCTTTCCCTCAGCAATTGCGTAACCCATGCCCAAAGCGTTGGCAGCGGAAGCACCGTTCCAGGTTGGGGACATACGGACGGATGCGACACTGGAGATAGCCTGCCTTCACAGTTTCAGGGAGGGTGTGTCCCTCAAAGGTCAAGATCACGTGCTTTGATGGGGTTTCCTTGCCATCCTTCCGGAACATAATACGTTTAGCGGCGACAACATCGGCATCTTTCTGTCCTTCCAGGATTTCTTCCTCGCTAGCGTCGAGGAAGTCTTCTTCAGAGAGGACTCCACGGATCGTGTTGAGCGTCCGGTGAGGACTCGCGAACACTTCGACGTCGACTATGCTGGTCATCTTGGAGAGTGCCTCACTTTGGACTTTCATGTTTACTTCAACGAGAAGGTTGCCGGAGTGGAGTTTTTGTGCTTTGTATGAGAACCCAATAAGGTTTTCTAGCACATTGGCTACCACAAAGGGGGACAATTTGGACACTGGTTTCTCTTCAAGCTTCGAGTGAATCACAAAAAACTTTGTAAATGTCCCCATTCAGCGGCTTTTTCAATGACTTGGGGCTCAGGGTGAGGCCTCTTGGAAGCCTGCCTTGAACCGGGTTCAGAAAGGAGGGGTGCCATATGAAGGGCAAAAACCTTCGGCGTCCGTAGCGCACCACCCACCACGGAGTCCAACAACGGGATAGGTAACATCTCATAACAGGTCTGGCTTCTCTGAGTATGTTACTCTATCAGTGCTACCAGGATGCTATAACCAAGTGTGGGTCAAGAAAGAGTTCTGTCGCCACCCAAGGTTAGCCCTTGCCGCCAAAGAAGGTGAAAGCGAAGAATAGGAGAAAGGAGGAAAGAGAAAGAAAAGTGGGGATAGAAGAAGTGGCGACCGACTGAATCATCCTGGTCGGGCCAAGCCAGGACACCCGTCTACGGGAAGCGGGGGCCGAAGTGGTGTATTGCCTTGCCCGGGGGGCCCCGAAGGGTCCAAACCTACCCCGGGCTCGGCTCAACCACCAGGATGCCCTTTTCCCCGGACACGGGAGAGCCACGCACAGCCAGATGTGGGCGGGCGAACCCGCGTGGCTCGGAGTCCGTGGAGACGCCACTCTCCAAACACCTGCTTTCACAGTGTGGGAGTCCCCTTCTTTGGGGGTACCACTTAGAAACACAGAAGGTTCCTTGGGTCCGGATAAAGACGTGTTTATTGACTCAAATGTCACACGCTTGCCCGAAGGCCAACAATGTTGGAGATGACGGCGCTGTCTCTTTTGACAGGATCGCCAGTCGGAGTCCGCGCTGCCGCTATCGACAGTATCACGGAGGGGGAGGATCTGATAAGGATATGAAGGCTCCGTCGAGCAGAGCCTCCCCCAGCGAGAGTCCCGCCCGTTGGATAGGGGCCCCCTTATATAGCCTACGGGAATGGACGCGCCCGGGGTGGGTCGGATGTAGGTGGCTCCCCGGAGGGGCGGACGCGTCCAAGTCATGATCCCGAGGGGTGTGCCTTAGGCAAATCACCCGAGAAGGACGAGGGAAAGCCCTCCACCAGGGAATACGGCTTCGCCCTCGCATCCGGGACGCGCCCCCACGTTGCGACGTCCCACAGCCTGCCTGAGCTAGGCCTAGATAGGGATGCGAGGAACGCCGTGGTTCCCACAACAGGTGCCCCCTGCGGGGAGGAATGGGGCAGCGACTTGGCAAAACCTCGCAATGGAGTTGTCAAGGTTGTTGACCGAGCGTTCATTTTCTGCTAAACCTAGCATCAGCATGATCTTTGCAGCAGCGTGGCGAAATTTTTGTTGACCTCCTGTTTCTGGCGCCGCTAGGCGCAGGAAATTGCGAATGTGTCAAAATGGCGCAATTCTCGCAGTTGTCCAACCTCTGCAAAAGGCTATGTTTTTTGCAGGGGTCAGTAAAATGCCTGCAAAAGACATTGTCTTTTTGCAGGGGTTGGACAACTGCGCTGTTTTATGAAGGACAGTACAAAATGCTGCAAATGATTATTTTAGGTGAGGAACCAAAGCTAAACCAAACAGATATTTTGCAAAGTTAATGTTAGGATAGAACAGTTTTGAGTGCCCAAATTTATCTTTTATTGAAGTTCTTAACATTGTCATAAACTGAAATTCTTAATTCAACCAAAACAAATGAAAACCTGCAAAAATACTCTCCAGATGTTGGACCTATAAGATGATATTTTTAAGATTGACACTTTTTGCATAAAAATATATAATCGAGGCCATATGCCTCAAAACCCCATCTGCCCACACCTTGTGCGCCTTTCTCAGTTGTTGGACAATGTTCCTTTTGTGCTTCCAAGAAATACTTATCACCGAATTATGTCGTAAAAATGTTCAATGAAACAGAAGCATGGCTTATATTTATTTTTGCAAGCTCGATATCTCACAAATTTTGCCGAGACGTCCAAAATTTTGCGGTTGGAAGTGACACGCTGCATATATACTCGTAACAATAAAGTGACATGTTTGTGTGACAAATATCTTGCACTACGTTTTCAATGGCGAAATTGGTAAAAATTAGGTTGTTAATAGTACTGACATTGCTAGTCATTATTGATCTCCATTGACAGACATTATTGATGTCCATTGCTAGTCAATGATAAGTGATTATTGATGTCCATTGATAGTCATTGATAAGTCATTATTGATGTCCACGTGACGTATTAAGCTACCGGTTAATCACCAATAACTAAGTGCAGCAACTCACCAGAGCAGGCCAGGGCCGGTGGTTCTTCCACAGCTTCCCCAGGTACCAGTCACTCTGGTTCTCCACCAGGCCAATGGCCTGCCGTGCGAGAGAAATGCAACAAAACTAGCTCAGACAAGCGTTGCCAGGCTCCAAAGTGGTCGCAACACCCAACTCTCATCGAAATATCACCAGATTTCATCGAACAAAAAACGTGAGAAACTCTTACACAATCAAACATTCATATTCCAAACACATATTTTGGAAAGAATGTAAAATTAACCCAATCAGTTTCAGGTGTATGTTTCCATTTTTCGACGTTTTTATTGAGACAGAGCTAGTCCGAAACGAAATGTGCTAGCGGAGCGCAAATGTCACCTGTCCATGTATTGCGCAAAATAGTTTTTTACCAAGATTTAGTCGTAGGTATAAAAAATAAACCTAGGTTTCGGTGAAACAATCGTGGCCACTTGATCCCCTCTGCCACTCCCCCAGAAGCCGCCTGCCGATTCCTCCCGCAAAACGAAAAAGCGCTCGTGAGGGGGAGAAGTTCTGTGCGTCATGACGGACAGAGGGGACGCCGTGTGTTGGCGCAACCGCGAAAGCCAAAGCAGCGTCGAACGTGGCAAAGGGAAGGCAATTTTTACCGTTCGCCAGCGTTTGTCGGCGCTCGTGTCAATTTCTCGGTCATTTCATAATTTCATTTTAGCAGTTGCTGAGTTCTCACGGAAATTATGGGACAAGCAATGCCCAAAAGTTGTAAGGTGCCACGCTGCAAATTGAGTGTGGCAAGAAACCCGGTTATCCGATGTCACAAGCTGCCATCCAACGAAAACCTTTGGGATGCCTGGTGGCAGAACATTTCAGGGCAAGGCGCCCACCAAGGCAGCCACCTGCAGCTAAGACCCAGGGGCGTTGTGTGCTTGCTATCAACGAGTCGGTAAACACTGACACCAAAGCAACCGTGATATGCTATGCACAGGGTTCTGCGTTTTCGGTTTCTATTTTTTTCAAAATTTGCCGTACTTTTTTCGGCATTTATTTTAAAATTAAATTTTCGTTTTTTTCGGCGTATATTTATGCCCACAAAAGTTTATCGGGTTTTTTCGGTGAATATAAAATAAACACCAACGGACACGGGTCAGATAATTCTTGTAGATCTGGTATTTGTGATCGCTCAAAGAATAACGGCAGAGATACATTGAAAAAGAAATGGACACTTTATTTGGCAGATGTGTGGAACTATAAAAGAAGCAAGAAAAAAAAAAAAAGTACAAACAAGTCAGATATAAAGCCTGTGTCCAAAAAACATGGAACTTCACCTTCTGTACATCAGGAAGGATTACGTGATTATATTATTGTACACACGCATGTACTTTCCCAGGTTTTCCTCGTTCATCCGCACTCTTTATTTGCTGTTAATATGACCCTGAGCTTCGAGAATTATCTCTCAATGCTAACACTGGACACAGGCAGGCTGAGGAGATGAAGCGCTGCGTGAGCTAATATCGGCCAATCACCAATTGTGACCGAAAAAAGAGACACGGTGCGACGTTTTGAAGCGCACCACAACATGCAGAGCTTGCATCAAGTCAGTCTTCCTTACAACGAGTTTGAAAACACGCTCGTACATGGCGAAGTCATGGGGCATTTCGGACTTCACGTTCCGATCGATGATGCGCACAGTAAACCAAAACGTTGTGATGGCATCCGTGTATCCCATACATTCAGACACATTTGGATATACACTATCGTTCCACTTTTTCGTCACGGCTCTGAGGTACTACGGGGAGATCAAAGTGACCTTTTCCGGTTAAAACTGAATTTTAAAAAAATGGATTCGACCAACTTTTATCGGTTTTTATCGGTTTAAAATAAAAATTCCGAATGTAAAACTGACCTTTTTCGGTTAAAACCGAATTTCCGAAAATGGATTCGGCGTACTATTATCGGTTTTTATCGGTTTAAACCGAAAACTCCGAACCCTAGCTATGCATAAGAAGCACTATATTTGTTTCGCGACATTTCTGGAGTTGTAATGACGGGCAATCTATTTAGAAAAAAGAAAACACAATCTGTTGAAGGGCTCGAATATATTAGTAATTAACTAAACAGGAATAAAACAAAGGCGGTTACATTCAGGTCAGAGGGGATAAGCACTAGGATATTCAGGCTCTCACTATTAGGCTCATGTATACTGTTTAAAAATACTATAAAATGTCAAATATCTCGGTGGAATTCTCAACAAATACGTGCAGTGAGACAAAGCAGTCCGAATGATAGATTAAAACTATTTAAAATTATAAGTATAAAAGTACATTATGTACACTCGTCTGTGCTCAGTCATATTTATTATGGGTGTGCGAATACTCGAATATATGAATTCGAATCGAATAGAAAGTTCCCGAATAATTCGATTCGCGAATCGAATTCCTAGTATTTGGTCACTCAAATATTCAATATATTCGGCCAAAGATGCGCGGTCGGCGCGGAGCTGACAAAAAAAAAGCTGTTTTTCTCCCCAATGCAAGCGCCGTGATGTTACACAAACCATACGAAAAACAGCTCTTGGTCCTACCATTCCACGAAAATCTAACGCACAGGTTAGAAAAAAGGAAAGTAACGAATGCCACGAACTTTATAGCACGCAGATTTACTCACTATCGTGATACACCCTACCCTTGAATCACAACCGAAACATCCCGTTTGTGCCGCTTCCAGAGAGGAATTGTTGGGAGGCCGGAATCCCGCGCCATGCCTAATTCTTTTCACGAGTAAAGCCCCTCGTTTCACATTGAAGCACCAATGTAAAACACACTTGGCCGCACTCACAGAAATCGGCGCCTGCACGATCACAGAAAAAAAACCACGTTAAACACGCCGAGAAAACCAGCCGAGTTATCGTCGTCGTTCTTTTGGAACCTCAAGCAACCGGCGGACACTTCAAGCGACTTCCGGTTAGCTATTTAAGCGCCATCTCTTATCCGTTGGTATTTTATTAGGTCCGTCCGGTTTACGCCGTAAAGTTTATTTAATAGGATGAGATACATATTATTGTTGCTGCTTACAGATTTCAAAAATTATCCTGGTAAGATGAAACAAATATTTTGGTTAGCTAAAGTTTCGCCCGCATACTTTGCTCTCATTGGCCGGTTGTTTTTTTGTATTCTGACCGTTGAGAACAGTTGCGCGTCGGCTGCCGCGCTCGCGGATGCGTCAGCTGCTCGACGGCGCTTGTGCCAGCGTTGCGGTGGTGGTTTTCGTTTGCAGCAGCGGGCAGTGGCATTGACCTATTGGTTATCGGTCTATTTCTTCTACCAGTACACGGAGCAAACGAAACCTTGTCTATTGCTCGACTCAGTGGTGCTCTAATTCCAGTGGCAACAGCTCTGCCAAGTTCTTTGGGTTCCCGATCGAGTGACGAAAGGTAAAGACGGGCTGCTATACTTTTGGTTATACAGTTTCGAATTGCCGAAGACTTGCTGGTGCGTGTTTCTTTATGGTAGAGTTATTGTAAAAGGTCACAAGGGACAGCGAATGTGTCTTAAAATGAGCGGTGTGGGCGGTATCGGTGTTAGAGCACCACAGCTCACTGCAGAAGGAACCTGCGAGAGATTGTGGCGATCGAATCACTGTTTCTAACTACCGCAAAGTTAAATGTGTGATTGCAGGTCTGTGAATACTTGAATAGTAGTTTCGTGTAGATTTTGTCACTTTGTTGTGCCGTGCAGTGAACGTTTTTTCTTTTTTTCTCTGTATAAAGAGCGTGCCTAATAAAAAGAGATTGAACTTGCAAAAGAAGTTTGGACTTGTGCCCAGACTGGCGACGTGCGCCCATCTTAAGCCGCGAAACGGCAGCGGCTGGACGTACTTTGCATTCATTGATTGACGATTTTATGAGAACTGGCTGTCACTGAACATGCACTGTTGCCAAGCTGATCTCAATCGAGCGACGCAAAGTCAAGTGCAATCGTTTCGGAAGCGTCGAACATTCGCAAGAAAAGGTAAACGCACTTTTTTTTTTTCTAAAAAAGATTACATTGTATCGTAGAAGAACCAGATGGCGGCAATGGGAGCAGTTCCCTCTTCTCTCAACATCAGCGACAATAGGATGCAAATTCGTTCGGAGTTCGGAGGCTGCTCTGAACGAACTCGCATCCTTTTGTCGCCGAGGGTGAGAGAGTGGCAGAGGAGGGACCACACCTCTCACACCCCCTCCCATAACCAAGCGGTTGCCGTGACGACGGCGCGCGTATTGTTTTGTCTATTTCTTATTGCTTTTGGAGAAACCCAACGCCCGTTAGGGGAGATTTGGCGCTGCCGTCTGCAATTGGAGCCCCCCCAATGGGAGGTATAGACCTTTTCATCCTCCTCCGCATGGGCGCTACCATCTTGGAATCACGTGACGCGGCAGCCATTAGGTTGCTTCAACTTGCTGCTTCGCTCTCCCCTCCGCGCCTTGGCGGATGCGTTGTATTCGTGTTTTTCGTCGCGTTTCACCGCGCTCTCTTGCCTTACTTCGGAAACTACTCGACGACTAAGACATCACGAGGGGTCAAAGATCCTTATGAAATTGAGTTTTGTTTACTAAAAGTGACGGAACATTCTCAGTAAGAAGTGCGTATATTTATATCGCGCATTTAGGATCGGAAGGCGTCAAGAATACTCAGCGCAAGGAGTCTATCTGTATTTCCTGGAAGTATAATTCTTTGTATTCGTAATATATCGAATACAGTTTCTTTTGATTATGTGAGGAAACTCGCGGAGGGGATAGATAACGAACGTTTATCTTTTATATTATCGGAGGCTAAAAGTAATGGCGATTTGTTTGTTCATAATACCACATATACTTGTGTTTAAGGTTCTCAATCTTTTTTTGTGACGTAAACATTCGGTCGGTCGGTTTACCTATGAAGCTTAAAAAAATATATACCGTGCTCGCTCAAATTTCGACAGTCACTTAAAGGAGCTGTGCAACGATATTCATTTGGAATGTTTTTCTCTCTACACGAGCTTACTGGCACACCTGGGACTCAAGGATACTCACACGCAACGCCATTGGCCAAGAAACTCCTTTGTTGCGGTGTAATTTCAAGGACAAAAGCGATCATTTTCATTCAATCTCTCCTTTGCAAAATTTGATGACGTAACTCAGGGATCGCAGTACACCCAAGTGACGATATTTTAATGCGGTTCATAGATTGGACCCGAGCATTGCGTGGGCACTCGACTTGGGATCGTGACAATTGCTAGCTCGAGAAGCATTCGGGTTGTGACCCGTGTCCAATCGCATGCAACGACGACAACAGCCGAGCCATAACAATGTCTGGAACTCAGCGCGTGTCCTGCGCTTTGCCAACCCCAGCGCGTGGCTATGATCAACACTGGCGGCATATAATCGTGGCCGCTTGTTCTGGCTGCGAGTTGAGGGGGTGAACGCTGCTCGTTTTTCTTTAATTTTGTTCTGGGACTTCTATTGCGTGGGGTGAAAAACGAACGCGTGTTTCATAGGTCATTAACGTTAGGGATCCGTTTTAAGCGGTATTTGCGCAAAGTACAAAAATTGTTGCTATGCTCCTTTAAGTGATTGATTGATTATGTTTAGATAACCAGTGCCATTTACCTAATTAATCTTAGCACAAAGGTTGAGCCTTCCCGCGTAAAAAACTACTACAGAAACTTAGCAGTAGCGAGTTTTAGAATAGCGTGCACAAAGAAATAACGTTGTTTCTATTTACAAATTCAAAACGCGGTTTGGGTTCGGCGCATGCAAAATAATGACGATACTTTTTCTTTTTTTTTTTCTTGTTTTGCGGACGCTTTTTTAATTTTTTGCCTGTATCTTGAGTCCGTAATAATTGATGTCGAAAAAAAAAAAGAAGAAAAAGAGCCGTCTGCATAACAATTACTTGAGTCCAGGATTGTCGATGGCGAATACAGGTTTACTTTTGGTGGCTGGCGACGCCGAAATTTACAGAGCGAATCTGTTCAAACAAATAAATATTTGTTCACACAGGTCAGTGAAGTGGTGCCTAGCGCTAGAATTCAGCCAAACTCTCCGAGGTATTTCTCCTCCTGCACCCCTTAATTTTATTTGGCCAATTATACGGAAGGCAGATGCCAGATTTAATTTAATGGGACTGTCACTTATATCTCGAGTAAGCGAAGGGTCATATAAAAAATAATTTATTTCCTAAGGCCAATACCGCGAAATGCTGCTTATGAGTACTTTAGAAGGGTTGATAATTAAGAGATTTCCTACTCGGCCTGTCAAAGCATAGTCGAGTACTGAGTTAAACAAAAAAGGCCGAGATGATACTACTTGGCTATATCAATTATCTGCGTCACCACACGATACGTTTTTAGGCTGCAAAGTTCACTAAATGTTCGGTGCCCCGAAAACCAAACAGTGAGTAGTAAACTCGCGAGTTCATCTGTTCTGGCCGATTCAGCACATTGCTAATCAAGCTGTCGATATACTTCTTTACATTCACGTGTTAGTCTCTCCATTAGTTTGTTTTTCTAGATACAGGTGGTCATCGGGCATGGCCGCAGAAAATGGTGATCTTCCCTGTCCATCAGTCAGGCGTTTCGCAACCGACCATAATCAGATACACCAAAGGAGTTGGTCAAAAAGCCCGCAGTTTAAGCGCGATCCAAACCAACGCTTCTTTTTGCGCCTGTAGGTCGTGCGGCTGCGGATGTGACGCATTTTCGTGACGTCGCGCCGCTTCTTCGCTCCTTCCGGGCGCGCACAAAAAAGTTGGTTGATTTCAACTTCTTCTCAACGCGCACAAAAACGCGCGGTGACGTAGTAGGACGCTCCCGTGTCCCGGCCAATCGGTGGAGGGCAAGCTAGTTCCGGCTCCGCGTTTCTCGCCGTCTGGCTGCCCTCTCCTCCCCCCTTTTATTCTCTTCCAACATGACAACGCAATCTCTCTCTCTCTCTCTTTCTCTCGCCGTCTGGCCGGCCAGTCTGTCGCAGTTGCACCTTGCTTGTGCGCTCGTGCCTGCGTGCGCGCGTGCGCGCTCGCCCGAAGTTTTGCCCGTCCAAACCAAAGCGCACGGTTCTGACTCAGAAAGCGCGCCCGGAAACAGCAAAAACGCCACGAAATGCGTCACATCCGCAGCCGCACGACCTACAGGTGCAAAAAGAAGCGTTGGTTTGGATCGCGCTTTAGGCTAAAATAAAATACACCTCGTAGTCCTCAAAGTGGTTCAATACCACTGTTTCATTAGTTGTGTGCTACAAAGAAAATAACCGTATCACAAGATTAAGCAAAAACAATGTAAAACAGCAACACAGCCGAGTTCTCGTTGAAACCGAAACCAACCAAATCGAAGCAACCTAATGGCGCCGAGTGCGTCAGCGCCCTCTATCCGCCGGTGAGGCAACTACTAAAATGAAAAGGTCTATAGGAAGAGTCCGCCGGTTGCCTCAAGCCGCAAATTCTGATTCGGAACGAAATGGAACCGACGGAACGGGAAAATAGTGTGCTTAGATTTGAGAGGGTTTCCAACCGTTCGATAGCCACGTTTGAATTGCGAACTGCAAGAAGGTGACGAAAAAACGAAAGCGTCGATCGGGATCGGGCAGGCAGGTCAGGGAGAGCAGGCGTCGTCGCCCTTCTGTTTGCTCGCCTTTTTCCTCGCGACAACACAACACATGCGCACTTACGACCAATCTGCACTGGAGCCATCTCCGTGGTTTCAGTTTTGCTTGCTCCCTCTTTTAAATCAAGGTTCTCTAAAACAGAATAGATAGACGGAAAAATGGATGCATGGCGGCAGTTGGACGGTGTCTTGCGCCACCTAACCACGCTTTTTTTTTCTTCTTCAGATTATATTTTTTAAGCCTGTTTACTAAGATTTAACACCTATCTGTTGATTTACGTGAAATGAAATCCCGGGTGCCCTTTTTCTTCCTTAAAATGAAAACCAAATATCGCAAAATGCCCCTTTTCTGAGATATGCAAACATTTAAAAAAAGTCGCGGTGTTAGGTTGGGCTTAAAAAAAGGCATGCGTGGCTGTAACTATGGTTTTTTTTGTGACGTTTAGGGAAGATAGATTATATTTGTGCCATAAAATTGGATCTTTAGTGCCCAACATCCAACAGCAACTGCTTTTATTTATTTATTTTTTTTCACCAGAATTTTTTTACATTTTAGCTTTTGTTCTGCACAAGATGCATATTCTGCAACAGGTGCATACTCTGCACATATAATAATCTCATTCGCAGCACACTTTGAAAAATTCCTACAAATAAAAACACTATTTGATATTCGATTCAATATTCAGCTTTTTTTTCTTGATTCGATTTGGTATTCGATTCGAAAACTACTATTCGGTATTCGCACACCCCTAATATTTATCCTTTTGTTTTGTGCTCGCATTAATTACTTTCTTGATAGAGGGAAACAGCAGTTTCTCTTATTCATCTTGTTTATGAAGAAAAGGGTTAAACATCTTGTTATGCAATCAAAGTTATGACAGCTACGCAGCCCCGTCATTTGGAAAATTATATATTGTTCAAATAACAGTTTTTACAACAATCAATTTGGTCTAGCATAGAAAAAACATCCAAACAATCCAGATAGTAATTTGTTTCCACATTCTTCCTTGCAATTAAAATGAGACTTCGTACACCATTTCCTATCTCAATGTTTGGATGGTCCCACGCTCGAGGACAAACTCTGGTAATATCAGATGTTAAACATACCTTCCCCGAGCTTTTAACCTATTCTTTTGTAACTTGGAAACGGAGGGGCTGTGCCAGGCATCGCAATAAATATCCCAAGTGAAACAGAACCACCAGAAACGTTTGACTTTCAGCCGCGCCGCCCCTCAAGATTGGAATCTGCGGTCACTGCTTTTAGCAGCCTAGGGTGCCTCAATGTCCTTCTGTTTAGGGTGATGCCACCCTTTGTAGTACCCAATGCCGACAGCACGCACTAACGGGGAAAATACAAGAAAACCGCTGAAAACAAGAAGTCAACATAGCACAGTCAGCGCCACAAACACGTGCACGCTCTTTCACATGCTTCTGAACAAAAAACAAAAATAAACGTGTGGGACAAAATGGCGAGGTGCGACCACCCTAAGCAAAGCGCACATGGAGACAGCCTAGAGCAACCTCTCCCTGCTGCAGCAGTCAATGCGTCCAGCGTTGCCACCAGCAAAGACGACGACGCAACTCCTAGACATGAGCTCGATGGCACATAAATTACACGGAACGTCTTCGCCTAAGCTCGGAGCCGGTCGAACCATCTCTTCCGCCCTCAACAACAAATGTGCTCTCGGGAACAGAAAAGTATTGTGGGGAAGGATCTGGAAAGAGGGCGGTACCTGCTTGGCGGTGAACCGGTGGAAGATTCGCCAGAGCTCGGCAATGTCCGACGCAAAGGTGATGTCCGTGTCCAGAACTATCACCTGGGCAACACGGGCAAGAGGATGGAGAAGTCACCATTTCATTCCAGAAAGCACTTACCGCAGAACCTCGCTGAAATAAAGGGTCATGCACAGAAGAAAGGAACAGAGTGGAATGAGACTGAAGCACGCTTGTAGCACTTGTACAAACATTCGAAGTACCACTTATACTCCATTTAGGCGTAACTTCGCAAATGGCAAAAGCTACGGCTTCAACGAGTCATGCAGAGCAGCGAGAATGAGACTCATGAGAATGTGCATTTTTCCCATGCAAAGTCGCCATGCACTTTGCTTCGTTTTTGCCATTTCCCGAGTTACGCTCATTGTGTATGGTGAAGATCTTTCCTCGAAAAAAGTGTCTTTACTGGATGGACCTTTCAGTAATTAAATAACATGAACCGATACCTCAGATCACAGACATGGCAAATTCGAGTTTTACGACACAATAAACACGCGAGAATTCGCTACAAATGCCCGTGTCACGGGAAAGGATACTGCAGATTGCAAATGCAGCAGATTTGTGTTTCACCATGTGACAAACACATGGAAACCTGCTACAAACTTGCGTGCCATGGGAACCCATATTGCCCACACAGGTTATAGACTTAATATGCAGGAATCCACACATCACGGGAACCCATATTGAACACGCCGATCGCGGACAAAAACGCAGGAACCCGCTGAAAGCTTGCTCGTCACACGTACCGGTACTGCAGATTGCGCGGTTGATCAGATTCCTGTCGGATGTCAACAGGGGGCTGGGTGATGTTTCAGAGATTTTATGTTACGGATATTTCGCCAGAAAAACATAATGAGCGATCTCTTGGGTGAGGGCGTTCAAAAGGGATTTAACGGCATATCAAGATATTCGACGACATTATGCTATCGCATGTGCTCGTGCTCTGTTCTGCAAAGCAAGGATTCTGAAACTCTTCTATCTCGAGAAATGTCTACCGAAAAATTCCCTAAAGGCGCCCTCCCCTAAGAGATGGCCCACCCCATTTTTTTGGCTAAATATTCGTAACGAAAATGGGCAAAACATCGCCCATCCCCTAATTCTCTCGATGTCCGCGGGAATCGGAACAACTGTGCAATCTGCGCTACCAGTACATGTTACAAACAAGTTTGCAGCGGGTTTCCACGTTTTGGTCTGCAATCTGCATGCGCAGTATCGGCTCCCACGACATGAGAGTTTGTTGCGAGTTCCTGCGCTTCTTGTTTGCGATATGCGTGTGCAATGTCAGTACCCGTGAGACAGTTTGTAACCGGTTTCTCCGGAACACGAATCTACTGCATCCCCACTGCGGTACCCTTTCCCGAGACACAGGAGACCATAGAGAATTCCCACGAGTTTAACATACAGCAAAACGTGAATCTGCCACGTCTGCAATCAGCACTACCAGTTCCCATGTCACGTGATTCGCAGTGGGTGCCCCCGTGTTTATCATCAATTTTTTATAAAGTTTCGCTGTCTCATTTCTAAAAATACTGGAGAAGTCTAGAGACCTAGTAAACAGTAATAATCATACTAGACATTCTGTACTCAAATTTGTACACAATTAAGTTAACAAAAACAAAAAAAAAAAAAAAAAACTTGAGGCGAGAAGATATGAGGTAAGCAATCTTTCAAGGTGCTAGACAAATGTTTTACAAAAATTAGCTATCAAGACACAAGTGCATGCCAGAAATTTGCACGACACGGGAACCAATGTTGCGGCTTAGGGGCGTGGCAAACTCAAGTTCTTTGACTCGGGAATGTCATCGTAAATGATTTTGTGGATCCGCACAAAAAATAATTTTTGACGTGTCCAGTTTGGTTGTGTTCGATTAGCTTCAAGTTTGGGCCGCCCACACCGGTCGGTGCGTTGGCTACAATTGCAACCTGTTAATATACTACTGTGCAAAGGCCTCGCATCAGACGGCAGCCCGAGCGACGTTCACTGGCATCGCTGGCCAGGTCCTCATCCTCGCCCAAAGTTTCAGAACTCCAATAAAAGACTATTAGCAGTTTTCTGACATTTTTATTGAAAAAAAAAATCTGCTAGCCCACAAATACACCGAGAGGAATGGCATCTGCCACTGGAAACAGACCTATTTTCCTCGTTGAAAATCTTCAATATACAAAGATAACTTTTGAATTAGGTAACGGCAAGTTCTGAAACCGTGGCACCTGATCCCTACAATTATTGCTTTATGTGGGTGAAGGCAGAACGTTCAACAAAACATAGTTTATTTTTATGTCCCAAAAAATATTTGCATTTTCTTTTGTCTCGGAACGCCCGGTAATTTTAATTCAGTCGCTCGACGGCTCCGACAGAATCCTCTATGTCCCCGAGCCAGATCCAGACTCAAGCCTCTAAACAAGTCAATCATTGTTACCTGAAATCACCGGCAATGTTTCGCTGTTGCCAAGAAATGTCGGAACAGCTCGCAACAGATAAAACCGACATCACCCAAGCTTCCTTATGCCGTATTTAAAGACCAAGAAGCCGAGTCACGAAATTGTAATGGTTGCCACTTGCGTCTGCTCCGCTTTATAGACACTGATGAGATGGGGACTCATGGATCGGTTCGCCGGTGAATACCAACGCGTATCTCTTCTAACGGTTAAAGGGATACAACAACGAAATTTCGGCGCTCATTTTTTGGTCTATATGTGTTCAAAGGAGCAGTATCACATCGAACATACCAATATCTTGTTAAAAAAGTCGCGAAAAGGAATTTTAAAACTAATTAAACGATTAGCAAAGAGCACCTGGTGGATGTCGCTAACGCCTCGGTTGTAATGCCCGTCTAGCAACCTTGGCAGCTAGTGATGGAGGTTGTCTCGCCTCTGGCCAGGACGAGAGAAGAGGGGCAGGAGGAACTCCCCTCTTCCCGAGAATGCCTTTTGTCTGTCACAGAAGTCGCTATTGTCCCCCTACAAGATTAGAGGAGATTAACCCGTCACTCAAAATTCGTACAAAAGCAGCCGTAGCTTTGCTCGTCTTGAGACGACCTACGTCACGATTGCGTTGGATGTCACATGCTCTAAGCTGGGCCTTCTCCGAGCGCTTGCCAGAGTGGGCCGTTTATAACGAAAAATACAGCCACCAGGATCAAAATACAAACGTGCGATTGTCATTTATGGATATTGTGGGTCATATTCAACCTATTTTTGAACACGACAGGAATATTTCAAATTTCGTTGAAGTATCCCTTTAAAATAGCCGCAAGGGAGATTTTGAGGTTGTGTGACCGGCACCGGGAGGTAAGAAACCGGAAGCACCCGACGTTCCAAACGATGGCGGCCTTAGGTCTGTCACCGCTTCGAAGATTTGAGTCAGATTTTGAGCGTAGAAAGAAGCTGAACAGATATAAAATCTAAGCATTCGTGTACTTCAGGAGCAGCATGTAAAGTCGTTTCCGTGGAAAGTCACATTAAGCTCCAATGGAAGGAAACGACGGGCAAGCCTTTTGTCTACTGAGTGGAATCGGTCGTAACGCCAAGTACTTCCTCCCCACGGAGTCTAGTCCCGTCGCCTCAAAATTCCTTTTGCGGCTATATTTTAACCAACTTCAGAGACGCCTGGTTCGCCACCAAAACGGCCCGGGGGGCCCCTAGGAATCCTGTTGGAGAACCCTCGCTCCGAGCATAACTAGTCTGGCGGCGCCCACCTTGTCGAGGTCGTCCGGCAGTGCCCTGGGCAGCACCAGCTTCATGAGGCCGTAGACGCCCGAGTAGTGCTTGTTGGGGATCCAGGACACCTCCCCCTGCAGGTTGTCCGCCAGGTAGAAGCTCACCTCCACTGCGGGGGCGAGAGGAGGGCAATCGGGCAACCGCTGCCGCCGCATTGCGGGGGCAGCCACTCGCGGGCGAGGAAGGACGCTTTTCGATTGGCACCCAATTCGTTCCAAAGGAAGTTTACGGTGCGCTACACGGAATGCGTCGCCAACTGCCGCGTTTACCGCGCCCCGAAACGTGGCCCTCGAGTTCTGCCCGACGATGTCTCGGAAGCATCGCGCCATTGCCGGCCGCAGTCGGGGGGGTATTGCGGCAGCGGTGGGGGATGCGACGGATGTCTGTTCTACTGCAGGTTTCTCTCCGGCTTGAAAGTCGCCGCAAGTTTAGACGGCCGGAGTTGGGGTGCTGCGACAATGTCGACACTCAAGCTCTTTCCTCCCTTTTGCTGGGACTTCCAGCACAAATTGCCAGGTTCGCAACATCCGAAAGCGTCGCACTCCAGCTTTTGCGACGTCGTCTGTCGACACTTGGGGACCGCTTTCGACGCAATGCGTTGAGGGCACCACTGCGAAGGTGGCCACGTGCGGGCGAGGAACACTGCCTTTTCAAAAGGCAGAGAGTTTGTTCGAAAGGAAGTTAACGGCTAGGGGTGTAGCGAACCTGCCGAGGTTCCAGTGCAGACAGGGTCCATTTTTTGCAAATTTGTAACGCAAAATGTGATGGAAGCTGAACTGAAGTTCGAACGTTATGCCCATAAGTGGAAATAAAGGGGGCCAATACCCAGAAAAAAAGCAACAATCCAACGCTTCTGCCAAGCAGACGTGGACGAGTACACCAGTATGAAGGTAGACTTCAGGTGAAATTTTCCCCTAAAGTAAACTGTAGCAGGGAGATTTGTTACTCCAAACAAGCAGAGAAGGCCATACGTGCCCCAACCACTTCCAACGCCGCGCGAGTGTCCGTTTCGTGCAGCAGAGGCTGTTGTGAACAATTGAGGGAGCTTTCTTTTGCCAGACGATAGTGACCAACCTCTTTGCTTCTGTGGCTGAGGCAGTAAGTTGTGAAAGTGGGTGTCCTTTTGACTCTGCTCAACTGCAATTCAAGGTTGATTTAAAATCCGAAATTGTACATTGCAGCATTTATCATATATTCAGCGAAGGCAAAACATTTAATTTTGACTTATTAAGACTATTATGCGTGGGAATGAATGAAACCAAGTTAATCAGTTAAAGGGTAATCGGGTTAAAATTTTTAATTGATGCCCAGCCCTATCTTATACTGTCTAAAACTTTCAAAAATCTGTCCGGTTTATCATCTCAGGAGCCGTAATAAAACAAAGTCTGGCTCCTTGGGGAGAATATCCCCCCTTATGCCGCGTATTAAAAGGATCATGAAATGACTCCTGGGCTGGGACAAATCCTTTTAGATTGGGATTTGACCAATCGCATATCGTTCAGTGTGCCAAAAGAAAAAGGGTAGAAAATCAAAAGCCTGCTTTTCTGTGCAAAAATCCTAAAATAGAGCGGACTATTTCGTACTTCCTCTCCTTGGAGAGCTCAGTGATGTGATTAGCCCGAGCCGTTTTGGAGCACCTTCTGGAGCAGCTAAAACAGCGTTTCGGAGCAGCGAAAGTGGCTTTTGGAGCAAATATTCTTAAAGAAGAATAAAAAAAAAAAAAAATATTTATTTTAAGTGGTGGACAAACGAAGGGCACATTGCTCGCCGCAATCAACCAGTTATTGTCGAGATAGGCCACCTGGGAGTCTTTTAACATGTAACTGAAATGCTAATAACATGACACATTTTGCAATGCTTCGGTTAAATGATAGAAATGTATCGGACCAAACTGCAGATATTTAAATTTATTTGAAAATGACCAGCTTAGTAGTAAATATCACATCATTAGGTTGACTAGTAATATAATAAATGGAAGCAGTCTCCAACTGATGAAAGACGTAACTACTGCCGTGCAATGCGAAATTGTCGCGCGAGCGGCGATGGCTGTTCGATCGAAACCATGCCATTCTGCTCCGTCTCCAACTAATTTTCAAAATTGTATGCAAAACGTAACTGACCAACATACAACAAAAAACAAACAAAGCAAAAAAAAAAAAAAAAAAAAAAACAGTCCAGCAGCACGTGCTTGCCAGTCCAGCAGCACGTGCTTGCCAGGCCGGCAGGCGAGGTACAAGCTAAACACACACAAAAAAAAAAAGAGAACCTGAGCGCATCGATGCAAATCATCGCGAGCCAGGGTCCAAAAATCCTTGGAGCGCTTTGTGCAACGACTGAACTCGAGACAAATAAGCGCGCTGTGCGGGTTCAGCATGCGGACATTACCTTCTTTGCTTTAGCTCACTTCTATTCACCAACATCTTTCGCTGCTGATTTTTCACGTACCGGGGTACGTCTCGAAAGAAAGCCTACCGAGAGAAACCTAGGTAATCAATACTTCGACACAGCAGTCTTTGAGCTAAAGAGGAATTTTGTAGTAGCGTATTAAACGAGAACAGGATTGTTGATGAACATGCAGCAGTCCTTACGTTTCAGTTAGAAAGTGCCATAACTGGAGTGACGTGCGGACGGCAACATCCGATGTCGCGCGACCATGGTGACTGGCAGGCAGGGACCAAATATAGTTTGGCCACCGCCGTTGCTTTCAGGAGCGAGTGCTTCAGCCCATAAAGTAACCCCCGCCGCGCAAAAAAAAAAATGGTTTCGTTTCACAGCATGACGGCATGGGTGGTACCCAGCACGCTAGCGTCGGGGTGTCCACACACGCCCACGTCTATCATTGAATTTTTTTTAAGACACGAGACGAGAGACGGCGGGAAAGACCATGCAAGACTGGATGAACGATTGATGCAGGGTACTTTGTCGGACGGCTGCTTGCACCACCTAGCTTATGTGTGCTCAATAACGGTACTCTGTTTAGTTTCGGTTTTCAAAGGCGGCCAAAATTGTTCCTTTGGCGCAGGCTTGGCGCAGATTACCCATATTTTGGCAAAATGTAGCAGGATGTGGCAGGGTTAGCCCCTTGGCGCAGTTTGGCGCAATTGGCGCAGCAATCACATCACTGAAAGCTCTCCGCCTTTTCGCCGTGATGCATCTCTGGTGCACACTGCACAAGCACGTCGGCCAAACCCAGCTCACGCAGGAGACACGAGCACTGCGTCACTCGACAATCGATCCTTCGACGAGTATTTGGATTCGCTTTCGTGGCCAGTAAGTGCCGTGACGGTACTTATCATCACTTTCCAATAGGAGGTTCCATGGTTTGCCTAAAAAGGACGGTGGAAGCCTGGAGTCATCAAGCCCGTGCTCAAGCACGTCACGACCATGCGATTTCTCATTATGTTTTTGAGTTGAAGACTAAAGCTAAGGAGGAAGAAGTTGAAAAATCATTTCATGGTCCCTTTAAGACATATGTAGGTGCATTTTAGATTAGATATATGTTACATTATCAAGACATACACACTTCAAACGCCAAAAAGAATCACTTCTTCCTCCGACAACCAAATCTTGTAAGAACTGCTTCAAGCGGGCGTATGAGCAATACGAGAAACTTGCCTTTTTTTCTTGAACTGACAACGAGTATAAGAGTGTAAATTGTTTTTCCCAATAGTGCGAAATATTTGTGTAGAAGTAGGGCAACCCTATTCAAAAGCAGCATTGAAAACAGCATTCCCCGACTTGGGGCGCTCCAGTGAGCCGAGGACGGCAACATAGAGGAGCAAATAGTAAACGCTGGCATTGGTGGTCCCGAGGGAAAGAACAAGAAAAAGAGCGAAAGAGAAGCGGAGAAAGAAAGCAGACGTTGGGTTAGGCGGGTTCGTTTTGCCATGACAAGTTGAAGTTGTTTGAGTGCCCGTCAATCTTTTCTTCCTTTTATACGATGCTCAACGTCAGTCTTTTTCTCCAAACCAAGCTAGAAAACAACTCAGGTGCAGACCTTATAGGTGATGTGTTCCAGCATCTTTCTTTATACTAAAGTGTCGCCAGTGATGTCCCATCAAGACTGCCAACGTCCGCATTTCTGCCCACCGTTCTGAAGCAGCCAAAATGAGTGGGACCTTGCCCCCTACATTTTTACATCAACTCTATGATTTTAGGGGTGGATTTCACCTCTCGAAATTTCTATGCTTAGCTTCCTTCGACACTCTCGAGATTTACAATGGCAAATGGCGACGCAGGTGACGACCAAGGTGTGCTTGTGGGGCCACCTCCCGATAGATACAGAAAGCAAAGAAGCCCATCCAAAGATGACCCCACATATTCCAAGAATACACACAGACTATCAAATGAAGGTAGGAAACTATTACAAAAACAGTCGCGTTAATGAACTTCCAAAGAATTGACAAAACCTCAAGTACAATCCAGTAAAAAGCTAAATCAGAATGATATCCATGTATGTCTTCATGTATGTTAAATTGTGTCTTTTAGCATTGTGCTCTTACATTTCTACGATACATAAATTCAGTTTGTTAGTTTTGACTTGGGTTTTACGTTTATGAATGCTAAAATCTGTCTTTTATTGATGCTTTTTTTTGGTTTCAAGTCTATAGATATTAAATTGTGACATTTAGCTGTTTTTTCTTGCACTGTAAAATAATTTCCAATAAGCTGAACTGAATGATTACTGTTTTTGTTTTCCTCTCTAGATAAGTTTGCAGTATACAATGCAATCCACTTATAACGATAACGAGAAAACCTGAAATTTCAATCGTTATAACCAATTATTGTCGTATTTGGAATAGAATCTAATCATTTCTAGACTAGAAACTCTAGAAACTGATCGTCATAAGCAATACATTGTAACATGTGCTATCGTTATAATGGGATCGCACCTTAGTAGCATACAATTTATTTATGGTCACGCGTTAATAGTGATCTTAACCTTTTTAATGCGAAAGCATTACCTGGGTCTCATGGAGCGAGCCGACGTCATCAGCTTTGAAAGCATGAAAACGGCACCTTAATGAAACCACGTGCAAAGCTAACCAACGGCACCTTTTACATTTCGGTCCCACTGGCTGGCGCATGTCGACGAGCCTCCCATTGGCCGCTGCGCGTCAATTTGTGTGCTGTCATCCTGACTGTGTTATCACACTGCTGTGTTATCAGTGATCACCGCGTTTGCTCGCCTCGGTTGTAAGGTGCGTGGCAATATATACGGCGCATGGAATAAACCAAGAGGCTCGTTCTGTGGTGAACTTCGTTGCTGTCTGTTCCTTCCTCGCGCAACAAGGCACACGACAGTTTGAACGGTCGCTCACCCGATGGCGCTGCGTGTCCGCGAGGCTCCACCGTTTCATGCCCAAGGTCAGCGCGTTGTACACCGCAGATTAAAGAAGGGGGCTAAGAGCGGCGTGACTGCTTTCGCATTCACAACTCATAAGAAGTGCTTAGGTGTACCTCGAGCCTTTTTCAAGTTGCTTTTCTTTTCTACAGAGTTTTTAAATTTATTTTATTATATTGCTATTTTTGGGATTTGCAGTATTGCTACAGGGTGTTCACCAGTGCTGTTGGGGTGTAAAACTCTTTTTTTATATAAATAAGCAAATGAACGATGTGAAATCAAACTTTTCACTAAAATGTCTTAAGGTGGTGCATTCATCGTACTGTGCGAGTGTGGGTTTTTAAGAAAGAACTTATTGGAAAGGAGAGAAAGTAAACAAACCATTTGGTAGGCGCTCGCATGTCGTACCACACACGCTCGGATGTGCTAGATCTGCTTTATAGTCTCTAAGAAGCACCTTTTCGCATACAGTCCTTGTATACTTAAAAGTAGTGTAATTCCCCCTCTTGCGGTGTTTTCCTCCTTTCCATCAAAGGCAATTTTCCTTGCCCTTCTTCCGTGCCACACCCTCGCCATCATTTTCGTGCATCACCGAAGTTAGGCAAATGAAAGAAAGCATAACGTGTGGAAAACCAGGACTTTTGAGTAATTTCTAGCATTACCACTCGTTTTGCCAAATCAGCTGCTTGGCTTACTTCGTACACATTTTATAAACATTGAGTACCACCCACAACTGCGCACATGCGCACAGAAGAAAGTGCAATGTCTTGTTATTTACACGCCTTGTGCATTTATCTATCCATCAAATACGCTCGTCTCCATTAAGAGCAGTCAAAACTTTTCAACCGATCTGGTGCAGCCACTGTCTTTGTCGCTGAAGATTTTCTTTTTCCCGTCGGGACAGTAGAAAGCTTCTGCCCTTTCGCAATGCTGTTCGTACAATCCACAGAGGAGCAAGATGGAAAAAAAACGCCTCCAAACGGGCCGCAAGCAACAAAGCCGCCTCCATACCTCGCACGAGAATGGCACCGGTTCAGAGCAGACAAGAAATCGTGTGGGATCAGGGGAACGTAACAGTCATGTGTCGCGCTCGGATTAATCAAAGCGAGAGGAAAGAGTAATTTTTAGAGGACACAGGTGAGAAGGAATTTCTCTTCCCCATTCCAGACAATAGTTTGTGCTACCTTTCAGCATATAGAAACCTGATTTCTGCACCATGTGGTGTGCCATTTGTGAGGCATCAACCCGACAGTTTGCTTCTTTTTTCTCCCGCACATAGGAAACGAGGAGGTTTTCTTTTCTTCCATTTTTTTTTTCCCCAGAAGCCTTAATTAACTCACAAAATTTGGGTAGGATGAAGAGAACACATAAAGGTATCTTTCTGAAAAGTTTCATTGCCTTAGCTCATTGGCTTATTTATACAATTTCTTTTTTCCACACAAATATTACGCGAATACATTGCAATAACCAGTGAAAGCCATGGAAAATTTTATGTTCTATAATGATAATAGAGTAAGCCTCTTTAGTGTATTTTGTTTGCATACTTTTTTTCTGAGGGGTTATGTATTATTATTTCATGAACTGCGGTCTCATACCCAAGCATGAAAATGCTTCTGTGAGACAGAAATATGTTGTACAACTTAAAAGAAATAAAACCTGGAATAAGCTTTTCATTATTTGTTTAACAAGAGCTAAAAAGCAGGGCTTAATTACTTAAAAGTCCTTCACCGAGAAAAAAAAATATATAAAAAAGATTTACAAATTGTGACTAACTTCGGTTGTTTGCGTGGGCATCTGCCCTTGAGAGCCTCAAGAGTGTTGGGTCATTTTTTCGCAGAAAGGGAACTATGCCTCCAAATTTTAACGAGGTAAAATGCACTGCTAAATTACATTTTCGGCGAAGATTCGCCTTGTAATGTGCAGGCGTAGATTTTTCCTGCCAAGTTTAGGGCTAGCCCCATGTTTCGTAACACCCTGTATATGATGTGTACTGCAACGCACCCTCCAGTGTTCAGCATCCGAAAGAGATTCCACAAGAGGCTTCCGTAGCAGCACATGCGATTCTACGATTCAAATGCTCTAGAATCTAGAGCGGGGGCCCTTAAACGTTTCTATCGCGATCCCGTCTGCCAGTGGGTAAATTGAAGTCACATGACTTCAACACCAATGCAGTTTCCCCGCTAAATTTAGTGGGAAAACTGATGCCACATGACACGAAGCCGTGACAGAACTGACACCACAACTTTGTGACGTCATGTGACGTAACGACTTCGTGTCAGGTGACGTCGATTTCCCCGCTAAATTTAACGGGGAAATTGACGTCACGTGACCTCAACACCAATTCAGTTTCTCCGCTATATTTAGCGGGAAAAATGACTTCACGACTTTGTGTCACACCACCCATGAACAAGTTCAGCGGCAGGAGGAGAGGAGGAGGAAAGGAGAGGGAAGTGCATCACCCTCTTTTTGTCATCACTCCAAGCCACTTGCGTGTCTAGTTTCCTCCGGTTCCATAGGGCGGTGATAGTCCTTGACATGTGTGTGTGTACCTTTCGTCATGATGACCTCCGGATCAAGACAATAAGCGTGTTTCTACCTTCGTTCAAAATTCTACGTCACATCTGTGTTGTGTGCTAAACAGCTTCGCGTGCCACCCACCTCCACAGAGTGGAATGGCTCATCATTTTTTTGCAGGGACTCGTAGCACTAACCGCTAGAATCGCAACACCCAATGGCAGGGTGTGCCCACTTTCGTGGCCTCTTCGGGACCCCTTCTGATGCAAGAGCAGAACGGGAAGCCAAACGCATCGGTTGCGGACGCATTTCGTAACACTTCGGTACCCGTCTCCCGCTGTCTCCCCACGTCCCCGGGGAGGCACGAAAGACGCCGTCTCACCGGCAGGCACGTTCCAGGTGCGGAAGAGCGTCTGGAGCACCAGGTGGGCCACGGCGTCCGAGACGAAGTGGAAGTGAAGCGGGTTCTTGCGGTAGAAGAGCACGCTCTTGACGAGCGTCACCACCGAGCGGGAGGCATTGTAGCCCGCGCACACAATGGCCACCTGCAGCACCTCGCACTTGGGCACCTCGGGCAGGGCGTCCGCCCCCCCAAGGCCAGCCCGGACCCCGGGCGCGGCCGCCGGGCAGGGGCCGGACTGCGCGGGCTCTGACGCGTTGCGACGGGTCTGCTGGAAGTGCGTCGGCTGCTGCTGCTGGGACAGGCTGCGAGGGGAAGTGGGAAAGAGAGTGTCGGGCAGTGGACAACGCTAGGCCTGCACGCGACGCCGTCGTTGGGGGATTCCCACCCCAAGCGGCACACGCGTCTCAACAAGAGTCCCCAAGAAGCGGCAGACTCGGCCGTCTTATCGTCGCTGCGAGCTAGTCATTGCGCTCGTCACGAAATGTGCAGGCGGCGATGTCTTGCTGCTTGGATCTGCAAGTGACGACGTATGGAGGGGAAGGGTCTTCTCTTCTAAATGGCACTGCACCACGTGAGGGGGTAGAAGATAGCAGAAAACTGTAAACATCCACGTCGATGGTCTCGAAAGGAAGAATGAAAAAGCGGATGACATGTTAGGCACATTCGGTCGGCCACGACGTGCTTAAGTTCCACAACGGTTTGTCAACTTGCTTCCTTTTATACAACAAGCAGCCCCTTTCTTTTCTTTAATAACTGATCAAAATAAATGAAAAGAAGACATTGGCTGCTGCTATAGCAGCGCCGGCTACTCCTTTGAACTTGAGTGTTTAGTGTCCATTTCCTTGAGAGTTCACACTTGTCACATAAACTAAACACCGCACAGAACACCCTGCAATACACTCCAAGTTATAAAAGTACATTATTTACATCAGGGTGTAATGATTTGTCATGCTATTTATATATATTCCTACACTCAAATGTATGTGGTGCACTGTACAATATATATACATTAAAAAGGGCGGTATGCACATTAAATTATTCAAACACTTTTTACATTAAAAGCTCAATTTAGCGCGATAGTATAGAACCAAGGTGTATTATATACAGAATTTCACAGTTGAAGGATGTATGTAACGTAAATTTATCATATAATGATGTTTCCACTTTGGTGTTGCGTTTGTGTTGTTCTTGTTGAAGATGTATAACTCTCAATAACTGTCCACTATTTTAGTTTCCAAGATGAAATCGCGTAAGGCAAACAGAGCCCTTTTTTGTAGAACTGGCGTAGGCCAAGGTCCTAGCATCTTCTTTAGTGACAAGGAACGGTCGTCAAGTACCATGAGCCGTAAATTGAGCTCTTTTCGACATTTTACGAATCTCGAGCACTCTAGTAGGAATGAGTTTCATCTTCGACCGACTCTCCACATGAACATTCTGGAGATTCTGCGCGATGGATGCGGTATAAAAAACTAGCGGTATAAGCAACATTGAGACGAAGTCTATGTAGTAATGTTTCTATTGCAGATGACTGTGTTATTTATCGCGCGGTAAGAGATTCCGATGAATGTGCTGCCCTCCAGGAGGACATCGATCGTATAGCGAGCTGGTGCTTCACTTGGGGAATGGAACTGAATGTAGCGAAATGTCACTTTGTGAGGTTCACGAAGAAACAAAAACCTGTAATTACCACGTACAATATAAACAGCATTGTAATCAACTTGTCACTCAAAGTAAAATACCTGGGCGTCTACTTCTCTCATAATCTTTCGTGGAATCACCACATAGAATATATGACAGCTAAGGCAAACCGGATGTTAGGTTTCATCAGGCGTAACTTTAAAGATTGCCCACGCGAAGTAAAAAATACCCTTTACCTTACGAACATCAGGCCGATTCTTGAATATGCCTCCGAGCTATGGGACCCTTACCAACAGTACCTCATCAACGACATAGAAAGTATTCAGAATAGGTCTGCCAGGTTCGTTCTTAACTCCTATAATTGGCGTCAAAGCGTGACCGCCTTAAAAGAGGAGCTCAAGTGGGAGCTTCTCCTAACTCGCCGTAAATGCCTTCGATTAAAACTACTACACGCGATCCATTACGAACTCTCTGGAATTGATAAAGGAACATACTTACTTGAACCACATTTCATTTCCCAAAGACGTGATCACTCGAGGAAAATTAGACCTTTCTCATCCAAAACTGACATTTTTAAACATTCTTTCTTCCCGAGCACTATTCAGAGCTGGAATGAATTACCGGAGGAATTAGTGTTAGAGAAAAACAACTCAAACATTTTTCAAGCTCTGCTTGGCCTTTAGCACTCAATGTATGCTGTCTTCGTTATGTGTTATTCCTTGTTACGTGTATATTGGTGCAACAATGAGCGCGTTTCTCTGCGTTACATTTTCGCAGGGCTGGTTTCATGTTGTTCTATGCCTTGCTGCAGGCTGCGAGTGCTTTTACTTAATGTTCTGTGACGCTCTTTGTTTTTCTTATTTTTTTTTGCCCCTCCCCCACTATAATGCCTCCACGGGCGCTGTGGGGTACATGTAATAAATAAATAAATAAATAAATAAATGCTGCGTGGGAGAGAAATGGGTACGCGGAATTTTATCTGAGGGTCGATTTCAAAAAGAATGGAGCGTTTAGATTGTTTGTCAAACCACGTGAAACAACACTTTGCGCGTACCATTGTCCTTAAAGGGGCAGTCAAGTGGTTTTTGAGTTCGTGTTTTGATAATGACAGCTGAATTTAGACGCCTTAAGTATCCCTAAAAACCAAAAAGTATAGTCATACGGTGATTATTTCTTTAATAAAAATGTAATTGAAGGCCGCCAAACCTTGGATCCATCCGAAAACGAAACCACTCTCATTGGTCGTCGCACGCTTATCAAAAGGATCTCGGGCCAATGGCGTTGGACGACGTTCCGTCGCGCAGTGATCCCGAGGTAGCCGCATCGGCCGAACCTCTTTGTCATTCGAGCTTCGATCATGGCGGAGTTCTCTACGCTCGAGGACCTGACGCCGTTAGAGGTTGAAGTTCTTCGGCGGACAGCCGACCTGGGGATGATTTCCTATGACGCCACTCCGACGTGCGATGTGGACGATAGCAGCGCTTCGGAGTCATGTTCGGGTTCCGAGGACGACGAAACGCAGACCTTTTCGGGCGTTCTTCGATTTGCGGTTGGGGCAAGTCGTAACCAAACCAACGTTTGACATCGCAGCGTTACCTTTGGTACGTGATGTCAAACGATGTCGCCACGTTGACTTTCGCCTCGGGAGAACGGGGGGAAGGCTGGTTCAGACATTTGCAACGAGCGCGTACCTACGACTGCGTCCGTTGCAACCGGAACGACCGCACTACGCCGCGCGTACACACACCTGTAACCACTACAACAAGCGCAGCGGGTCGTCAGCACGGCGACCGCTTCTGTACGCCGCCGTCAGCTGTGTCAATGCCGTAACAGAATATAGACAGACAGTTTTCTAGTCTAAAGCTTTATTATTTTTTCTTGATAGGCTTGCAGGGTACAGCGAATGAAAAAAATAAAATAAAAAGATGCAGCGCCGTCTTGGACGATCACGACTCTAATACACGACATTGCAATAGTACAAATATCGCCACACGCCTTTTCTATGATTATAAAAGACAATGTAATCTTAGCAGCGATATAGTAACGTAGAAATATGATTTCGTGATCAGATAGACGTTGCGAGCGTTCAGGATTGCTAACACTAATCACTTTTCTCCGGTGATGAAAATGCGTGAAAATTCGTATCCTTTATACGGTACGCGCCAGTAATACCTTGAACTTGAGCACACTCATGAAATGCGCCAAATCAGAAATCCGGGCGATGTTCGAGGACACAAATGCTTAGAAAGCACCACTGTAGTCGAAGTAAACAAACTTGACGGCACGGGCGTTTCTGCTATCTTGACAGTGCCGCCACGACATCGCCGCACGAGTAGGTGGATGTTCCCTTCTAGTACGTGCTGGGTTATCATAGCGAAACACAACGAAAATTCACAGTCAAGGATAGCGCTTTTACGCGGAACGACAAGCTTTCACCAGGCCGTCCATTCCGACGATCACCACCGACGCCACGTTTGCGGATAGAAGGAACCGGCCGGCCCGCGACCGGCACGACCGGCCTGCAACGCGCGGAGATACGTGCGCTTCCGCGCGTCCCTGGGGAACGGGAAATTCACCCCCCGCGGAGGAAGGCAAATAGAAAACGTAGTCCCTTGTTTGTGAAACGATAATTGCGCTATCGCGTATTCTAAATTAGAAATATTTTACGTCTTGTGAAATTATCATGCACAACATATTTAAATGAACTGAAAATTGTTTTTTTAGCGAAACTTTAAAAAGACCGCCAAAATTTTCAAACATACGATAATTTCAATGGTCCTCGCAAGTACAGAAAAGAGTCCGCACGTATTTTATTCCTGCGTGATTAATAGGCGTTTCTGCCTTCTAAAACTGAAGATACTCATTCACTGACACTTCCTTAACACCATCGCACCAAAAGTAGCTTCTCCAAAAACCGCTTGAGTGTCCCTTTAATATTTCCTGAGTGTCTCCACGGGAAAGGGGAACTCGTTGATATTGCCCGTCCCAGTGTGCCTTTTTGGCGAGGCAGTCTGCCGCATCATTGCCCGTGAGGCCACAGTGTCCTGGGACCCACTGAAGTGCAATGTCGTGGCCTGCCTTCATTGCCGCCGTCATTTCAATCAGAATTTTGTAAATGTTACTTTTATAGTTCATTGATTGTATGGATGTGAGAGCTACTTGCGAGTCACTGCATATGACCCATTTCTTTATCATGCTTCCATGCCAAATATATTGTAATGCTGATAGTATGGCATGTAACCCAGCTGCAGTAGAGGATGATCGATGTGATAGCCGGAATGAACGATGTGTGTCTAAAGATGGTATAACAAATGCAGAAGCTGCTCCTTGATCGTCGGTAGATCCGTCTGTGTACACTTGAGTGAAACTGGGGTACTGATTGTATACATGGAAGAGAGCCAGTTGTGCCGCCACCATACTGCTCACTGAGCTTTTCTTCTCCATCCCATTTATTGTGGTCTGAACTTTAGGCATCGTCAACGTCCAGGGAGCAGGTGAGGCCGGTACTTCCCATTGTGTGTAACTTGGTAGGTGGCGCTGATGTTCTAAAAGAATGTTATGTACTCGTGCGCCTGTTCTGCTCATAAGGTTATGACAAATAGGATGGTCGATATGTTGTGTCTTTAACCGAAAAAAATGCCTGCAGGTTTCTTGTATTCGAAGG